CAACAGAACTACCAAAACCAAGAGACACCAAGACTTGGGTCAGCAGTCAAGGTCATGTGGACTGACCAGTTCAGTTCAGTTCATTTTTTTTGCTGGTTTTTTAAAAAACATTTTATTTATTTCTAGAGAGAGAGCAAGGGAGGGAGAGAGGAGGGAAACATCAATTGGCTGCCTCTTGCACACCCCCAACCTGGGACCTCACCCAAAACCCAGGCATGTGCACTGACCTGTAATCAAACGAGCATCCTTTTGGTCTGTGGGACAATGCCCAACCCACTGAGCCACACCAGTCAGGGCTCAATTCATTTCTAGCACCTATTATGTGCCTGGCATGGAGGATGCTGAGATGAATTAGACAGCATTAAGTCACGCTCTGTTAGGAAACACATCCTTCCTCCACTTGACATCTTTGCCTGCTAAGTCCCACTGACATTTTACTCGCCTTACTGGTTCCAGCAATGCACAATACATAAGAACTCTCCCATTTGGTCTTACAATCTTTACAATGAAAGTAGCCTATTTTCATTCCAAAAACTGCAAATAAAAGGGGAAGAGTCTTTTATTATAGGGGAGGGGGCGGGGGCGGAAGCCAGATCCTTCTTTGCTTGTGGCTCTGTTTAGGAAATACAAAAAGCCTCCTTAACCTCATTCACAGCTGTTTTCAAGGTTACTACATTAACTTAGTGGCTCATCTCTGAAGGATAAATCTGGGATTCTTCTCCCTGCTCTCCCATTTTTTCATATCCACAATGCCACCACCACAGTCTCCCCAGAGCAAAATTCTGACCACATATTTCACCAACTTAAAGCTCTTCTTTGTCTCACATCCCCAGTCAATAATGATTGCCAGACTTTAGGTTTCTACATCTTAAAGCTGGCAGCCTCCTTCCCCAGTGTTATAAAGCATGGAGGCCACATAAAATACACGTTTTCAGAACTTCATCTCATCAGATAAAGGGAGAAAGGGAAGATTTTGCTCTTATTGCCCCAGAAATGGAAGAGGACAGAGAGGAAGGCGCTAGCTGAAGTCTGAGGAGGGGAAGGCAAAGTTCACCTGGAAGTTGGGTTTCCTGAGAGGGTGGGCGTCTCCTTGGGCCTGCTTACTCTGTCTTTCCCCAGGACTCAAGTTATCTTCAGCCCTCAGCTTGTCCTGCTGCGAGTTCCTCCTGCTTGTCCTCTTGCAACCTTAGCCTTCGTGGTGACTTCTGTTGTTGACAGCTGGCCTCCACGGAACCTGAAAGCTCCTGCCTCTCCTCATCCTTCCCATCTGTCTGCAGCTGGACCAAGTCCCTGAGGCCCATCACTGGTGAATAGAGGTCCCAGGCTGGTGATGGCGCCTTGGGGACCCTGTGGCCCCTAGGAGAACAGCTGCGCAGGGTTAGCGGGCACATTGAGCACTGAATGGACCTGTCCACCCGCAGGCTCACTTGTATGCCCACCTCCTTGGTACTGGCCTTGCATAGCCGCAGGCTCAAGCTGGGATTCATCTGGGAGAGAATGACCTTAAGCTGCTCCCTCTTGTAAGGGTCCATGCAGTAGGCCCAAGCATTCGTAGGGACCACCGGCCTCGTCCTGGCCAGGAAAGTGGGGGTGTTACCGAACAAATGGACCCGTGGGGGTATGTCCAGATGCTATTACCGAAATAACACCCCCATTCCCCGGAGTCCCTCAGTTGTAGGTCCTTTGCCCTCCACCCTTGGAATTATAGCTCTGAATGACAGAGTTCGGTGAAAAAGGAACTATTCAAAAGTTATACAGATTTGATTAATGGCTAAATGTCACCCTTAAACCTCAAAATCCCTTTAAAGCAAACACCAGCACACACACTGTCCTGCCTTCGCCTCTTTGCCCTGCTGGTCCAGTCAGGCCAGTCAGGCCAGTCAGGGGTACCGTCCTCCAGAAGAAAAAGAAGTCCGGGGCTCGGCTGGGCAGGTCTCTCGCGGTCTCAGCACCATCCACCTCGTCGCAGCGATCTTCAGCTCTTAATCCATAACCATATGGCACCTTCTCATGGCCCACTAGCAAGAGTCCTTTCTTCCCTCTTTCTTCCCATGTGGTCTTCACACTGTTCCCCAGAGTCTGTGTCCTTTGTTCTCTCCTGCAGGACCCTGTCTCTCCTCCTCCCTCTCCCAGTTACATTCTGCATTAAGTCTTTGAAACCTTCTTGATTACCTTTGGTGATATGCAAAATAACCCTCTTTGCATGTGAGGAATGAAGCTATCCTGTTATTGACATACGAAATGACTCTTAATGGCCCTGCTCAAGGCTCCCATCCCCATGGTGGCCCGCCTTGTGGTAGGGGAAATATATTTTTCTTGGACACCCCGATCTCTGGATCCCGTTACAAATACCCTTTGGTGGGTCCCTGGCTGTGCCCCGTTACAGGGGCACCAGCATTTTGCCTCCAGTAGTGCTGTTGGTGGTCAGAGTCCAGGCTGGCCTAAAGCCGTGTGTTCCCTGGTACAGGCCCTGGGGAACATGGACAAAGTGCTCCATCTGCTGGCCAGGCTTAGTGCAACATCTTGGTGCAGTTCGTATCCTGGTTCTGCCTTCCACCTTCTCCCACCCCTTCTTTCTCCTGGTCAACCTGGTTCAGGTTCACCCCTATCTTTTTAACTTATTTCAGATTCTGATGGGAGCTGCTGCCTATCACCCTAATTGAAGGGGGTGGTGGGAGGAGAGGTTCCTACCTACAGGGGCCTAATTGCCACCTGATTCAAATTGCTCTTCCCTGCGTCTTCAATTCACTGATCCCAAATCTTGTTCAAAGCTGTTTTTCATTGCTGACTTATTCACACACTTGTAATAGTTAGCCATTCATTTATTTATTCCTATAGTAATGTACCATTTTAGAGATCCTGTTTTAAAGCATATTGTGAAAGAAATTCAAGGAATAAAATTATTTGAGCAGCCTTATACTAGACGAGTGTAAGGGAAAAAGTACATTATTATGGCAGGACTAATGAAAACAAAGACGAGAGGAGCAGGAAGCATAAAGTTATGGGGAGGAGGAGGCGTATAGAGTGAAAGAAAATATATTTCAGAGGATTTTTTAACATGCCACACGTTCTCAGTCCACCCCTAGTGAGGACCCCCTCCCGCCAAAAAAAAAAAAAAAAAAAAGGTGGAGGAAGCAAATTGTTCTGATTTAGAGGGTAAATGCAGATTTAATAGCAGGATAGTTAATTATGTGAGATCAAATCCATTTGAATTGAAACCTACACCTTGTTACCAGGCAAGTTACTTTACTGATTCCTCATCAGACCGTACTAACCAATTTATGGAATGACTGTAAGGCTAAATGTGTTACTGCTCACATGTTCAGTAAGCTGCAGTAACTGTTACACAAGGATCCAAGGCCTGTGTTCTTTTGTTATTCAGACCCAGATGACCATAAGCGTTGGTATCTCTCTGTATTTGTCAGGCTTCCTGCTGCAGCTGAGGGTTGTGGTTAAACTGAATGACACCTGAAGAACAAAGTAGAGCCCACCTTTTTTCTAATCCAAGGTTGTGTCTGCCATTCACTGCTCAGGAGCGTACCAGAAGCAGCAGGACGCATGGGCAGCTCCCAACCCCAGAACCCAGTAGAAGGCTTTTAGCCACTAACTAACCCGAATTAAGTCTGAGCCGGGCATGTCTGACCCTGTCCATGGTGAGGACAGAGCCCTGCCTTTCAGGGCAGTTTGGAGGGGACCAACAGGCACACACAGAGTGGTCGATACCGTTAGAATGTAAAAGACACTAGGGCAGCTTGCCGAGGGGAGTAGCTAACACTGCAGGAAGGAATAGGTGGGTTCCCCCCATTTCTCAGGAGGGGAGACAGCTCACAGGTCTTAAACCTGCTACCTTAAAACATCACAGGACTAGAGCTGAAGTCCCCTGGCTGAACATGCCAACCCGTCAACTCCACAGGGAGCAGCGGCTGGAAACCGGTCATCCTCCACCAAGGACCACGCTGGGTTTCAAAGGTTGACGACTTTGGGGCCGGAACAGAGGCCTGTCAGAGACAACAGGCCGTGTACGGCCCCCGAACACCGGACTCGCGGAAGAGCGGGAGTCGCGGAGTGTACGCAGAACGGCCCTCTCAGGGTTTCGTGAGAAGCCGCTGCCTTACAGTCAGGGAATTGACCACTACCTGGACCAACCAAGCCCCGGCGTTCGCTAGCCGAGCTGGGTCGGGCGGCCAGCCTGACTTCCGGGCTGTGCGTATGGTGCGTGCGGCGTCAGGTCGTCAGCGCGTGACGTATGGGAGTGCGGCTTTGGCGGGAGTGTACGAAAACCTTGGAGAAGCGGCTGTACCTGGTACGTGAGGGCAGAGGGTCGGCACCGGAAGGTCCTGCGGTCCAGAAGAGCGGCGTCTGTGGAGGTGGTTAGTGCCGCGGCATGACGCGGGGCGGCCCGGCGGGCCTGGTAATGGTCGCTGCCTGTCTCACGCGGATGGGGGCGATGGACCGGGCCTCCCGGTGGAGGCTCAGCTTCTCCCCTGGGACTTTTGGGCCCTGCCACCCGCTCGGGGGTGGGCTTCTAGCTGTCGCTAGTGTCCCTATCTGAAACTTTTCACACGATAAAGTTACTTTTAGCAGGACAAGGTTTCCCGCTTCCGACACTGTGCCCGCCCCACTTCACCCCAGGTGGTGCCTTTGGAACCAAAACGTCATTTGAATTGGCTTTTACCGCTAATGGGAGCCCTCGCCACACGTTGACTGATAATTAAAATTAATGTCAAAAATGCTGTTCATGGTCGCACTTGCCACATTTCCAATGCTTGATGTGGCTGGTGGCCACTGTTTTGGGCAGCACAAACACACAATGTTCCCATTATCGCGGCGAGTTCCTTTGTTCCAAAAGGTGGAACCGAGATCAATCATGAGTGTCGCTTTAAGCAGCTGTACCCTCTTCTGATTCTGCCGCACTGTCACGTAAGGACCGTACCCCATGAAGTGTGTTCTCTTTTGCAGACTCATTTTCGAAGCGTCGGAGTAATATTGTAGAGAAAAAAATGCCTATTGGATGCAAAGAGAGGCCAACTTTTTTTGAAATTTTTAAGATGCGATGCAACCAAGCAGGTACTGACAGCTTTTATATAAGTCAATCTGTTACAGCGAGCAAATGTTTTTATAAAATTAAGTAAATATACATGCTTGCTGGAAAGAATCCAATACTTCACGTTTTTGTTTAAACTATAAGCTGTTCTTTATGGAATCATAAATCCAGTTAAGAGAATGAACACTTACTAAATGATATAGAACCCCGGTGGACAAAGAGGAGACTGGGCCCTTGATTAGCAGTAGGAAAAATTGTTTTTAAAGCTCAGAACTTCTAGCAAATGAGAACTTCTAGCAAATGGCAATGTTACTTTGTAGCAGAAGTTGTCAATTTTTCTTGGTCTCAGTACTCCTGACACTCTTAAAAATGATTGAAGGCCTCAAAGAGCTTTTCTTTATGTAGGTTGCTATATTAGAAATTAAGAATTTTAAAAATATTTAATAATTCACTTGAAAATGAACTCAATGCATATTAATATGAGTAACATTTTTATGAAAACTACCTATATTTTAAAGAGAAGGGCATTGTTTTACATTTTTGCCATTCTCTAATATCTGGCTTATTCAAAGATGACTAGTCTGTTGTAGTATGTTGTTTTGGTAGAAGACCCAACCTTGCACAGCAATGTAGTTGGGTAAAAAGGAAGTATTTTAATAGTCTTCAGTTAATTGTGGGTATTTTTCTCCCATACTACATCAAAACTTAAGTGATAGTTTCTTAAAAGTTGCAATGTGGAATCTGAAACCATGTCATAAACTGTTCATACTTTTGTTACACTAATTAAATTCTGTCAGCCCTTCTAGTACTTTGAATGAATCTTTTATCTATACTGTTAACATTATGCACTGATTAGGAAAGTGCCTGTATTCTGAATAACAGATATTCCATATATTGACACGTTGCAGTGTCAATATCATATTAGATAGTTCACTGATTTCATCAGAAAAATCTTTTAAGATTGGGAGGATATCAAGCTGACAGAGCTCAGTAAAGTTTAACAAAATTCTAATTTTCATTTGAAATCTCATATTATCATATCATTGACTGCTGTTTTCCCTCAGTGACAGGCTCACTTCATGCATTTTCAGAAAAATGTCTCCCAAATCACCCAACTCAGAATGACTAAGTTATTCATTCTTTCTAGTAAAAATGGCTTTCTATGAAAAAAGTGCTAATTCAGCGCATAACTCATAAGTGCTTTTCTAGACAACTGTTGTACTGAAATAATACAGAAATGCTTATACATACTTTTTGTTTTATCACAGAATATTAAAAAGTTGTGTTTTTAAATATTGGGCTTTAATATAATATTAAAATTTAATTTAATGTAATTTTTACTTCATTAAGGACATTTTTTTGTTGTTGTTTTTTCTTTTATTGATTCCAGGGTGAGGGGAAGGGTGGGAGAAAGAGAGAGAGGGGAACATTGATGTGAGAGAAACATTGATCAGTTGCTTTTGCATGCTCCCTAACAGGGGACCAAATGTGCAACCCAGACATGTGCCCTGACTGGGAATCAAAATGGCGACCTTTGGGTTCACAGACCAATGCTCAACCAGCTGAGCCACACCAGCCAGGGCATTCATTAAGGACATTTTAAATTAAACTGGCTTCCTGTTTTTGTTTTTGTTTTTCTTCACAAGTACATGGTAATGAAGAATACAGTGATTACTAGTGTAGTTTGTTGCCACTTCCTTAACACACAGAGATGTCATCAGTTTTACTCACCTGTGGTTCAGCGTCAACACTGAAAAACATAAATTGTTGCCTTAGTATTACTATGAAAATAGTTTTGATTTTATGGACCTCTTAAAAAGGTCTTCCCCCCCGAAATGGTCCATAGTCCACACTTTTAGAAGCACTACTTTAAGAATAGATAGGTCAGAGTAGAAGTTTTGTTATCTGTCTTTAACAAATAATCATTTTATTCCTTTATTTGTGCATCTGCATGTTCCTTATACCTTTAGATTCATCACATCCACTTTATATAGTCTTTATAAATATTTGAATGGTGTCTATAGAATGCATTCTTACTGTAATTTTTTTTTCTGAATCATGAATGTAAGATAAGGAAAACTTTAGCCCCCGCCGGTGGCTGAGTTGGTTGGAGCATCATCCTGTACACCAAAAGGTTGAGGGTTTGAATCCTGGTCAGGGCACATGCCTAGGTTGTGGATCCAATCCCTGGTCAGTAAGAGCATGAACAGGAAGCTATTGATCAATGTTTCTCCTCCCCCCTTCCTCCTTTCTCTCTAAAAATCAATAAAAACATATCCTTGAGTGAGGATCAAAGAATAAGATAAAACTTTAGAAGAGCTAATATAGTTAAGAGCTGTCTCCTTGTGACTTTTTAAAACTTCTTATACCTTACTACAAATTCATAAGAGAACAGACAAATAACTCTGTTTAATTAATGTGGTTTAACAAAAGTCTTCCACAGTCCAATCTCAAGCATCCTTTTTATAATGATCTTTACTGGCTCACGAATTTTTGTGTCTCTTATTAAAACCAAGATGAGATTTTTATTTTTTACAGATTTAGGACCAATAAGCATTAACTGGTTTGAAGAACTTTCTTCAGAAGCTGCACTGTATAATTCTGAAATTACAGAAGAATCTGAATATAAAATCAGCAGTTATGAACCAAACCTATTTAAAACACCACAAAGAAAACCTTATCAATTGGCTTCAACACCAGTAATATTCCAAGAGCAACGTCTAACTCTGCCACTGTACCAATCTCCTTTAAAAAAATTGGATATGGACAGATTAGATTTAGGTAAGTAATATGATGTAGACTAGGAAAGAATATGAAGCAGGAATTCAGACAAAGCTGTAGTAAGAATCCCCGCTCTGCCATTAACTGTATTATGTTGGTCAGATCAACCTCTGTGCCTTTACTTTCCCCGCCTAAAAAATAAAGATGATAAAAATAATATCTGATAAATTTGGATTAAATAAAATAATGCAGGTACTTAATAAATGTTCCTTTTCCTACCTCCTTTGATTAATACATCTTTCCTACTGAGATTTGCTAAGGTGTATCTTTCCTATACAAAAAAAAACTCCCATAACCCACCCTAGGACTTTATATTGATTACACAAAATTATATTTCTATGTGCTGTCACAGAGAACAAGGAAGATTATTTTTACCAAAATCCTGATTTGATAGCAGTTTCCTTGGCCTATATGCCAGATATTTCCAATCAATCAAATATTGCTCATTTATTACTTGCTCAATTTAAGTAACATCCTTTCCCTTTCTTTGGAGTATTATTTGCTAGTAAGGAGAATTAAAGTACACAGATAAATTATAGTCTAAGGTTGAATGTGGTGCATGGCAAAAAGTACAATGAGAATTGAGAAGACAGCATAAATAATATTGGGGGAATTCAGAGATGATTTATTTGAATTCTTTAAGGGTAGAAAATGGAACAGAGTGATAGTGTTCTAGGCAGAGGAAAAATATGAGGAAGAATATGTAGTTTGTTAAGAGAATAGCAAGTAATTTAAATCATTTGGAGTGTCAAATCTGACAGGGACCAATAACAACGTAAGGCTAAAAAGAGGCAGGTATCAAATGCCAGGCTAAAGAAAGTGAATTTATTTGATAGTTTGTCAAGCAGGAAAATCAGGCAAATTTGATCACGATACTACTTCTTGCTTCAAACCGTGGATTATCTCCCTTTTGCCCTCATGATAAAATTCAGACTCGTTAATGTGATTACAAGGTCCTTATATAATGGCCTTGACCTCTAGGAAGTCAGTCTTGAATGAGAGAAAATATTTAAATATTCTGGTGTGGTATCCATTACAAAAGGAAGTTGGACACAGTACTGTATTGTGGGCATAATGAAGGGAGCAGCCATAGGTCTTAATGTGGTCAGGGAAAGCTCTTTGTTGATACTGAATCTTCTAAAAAGTGAAGGATATGCCTAGAACCAGTGGTTTATTTAAATTTTATCTCCTGGAATTGGTTTATCCTTAGGGAAGGATAGGGATGAGTTAATACAGCTACTTGACTCTCTGCAGAGGACCTAATGTTTTTAAGGTTATAGTGCATAAATAATTCAGTTGACTGTAGTCTCAAGACATTTTGCTTTTAAGTTTACTTTAAATTTGTTATTGAAATGTAAGACCTAAGCTGTTTTTTAAACTACTTTGTTCTAACAGCTCTCTAATGCATTATTTTTAAAAAAGAATTATCCCTGAAGTTCTGTAAAGAACTGTTTGTCTCAGCAGCCTGTCCTTTTGTATGAATTATGAGTTTATCTTATCATTACTTAGCTTATTTATGAGATTCTCAAGTTATTTGGGAAATGCTTATTTTGGTATGCACTTGTTTTTGCCTGGTTCATTTTTAAATGTTTATTCTTTACAGTTGGGTTTCTTTTTATTGCTGATCCAATCTTGATAGTTTATTATTAACTGAAGTCCTTTGTTTATATGTATTAGGCTTTCTTTGACAGGTCTGTGGTTTTTGACAAGTGTATAATGTCATGTATACACTATTACAGTATCATGCAGAATAGTTTCACTGCCCTAAAAATTCTCTGTTTTCCAGTTCACCACAACCCCCCTTCCTCAAGGCCCCTGAACCCCTGGCAACCACTGATCTTTTTACTGTCTATGGTTTTGCCTTTTTCAGAATGTCATATATGTAGTTGGAATCATACAGAATGTAGCCTTTTCAGAGTGGTTTCTTTCACTTAGCAATATAAGATTTATCGATGTCTTCATGGCCTGATAGCTCATTTTTTTAATCACTGAATAATGCTCTATATCTTAGTTGCTTGCAGTTTTTGGAAATTATGAATAAAACTGCTATAAATATTCATGTGCAGGTTTTTTGTGTGGACCTAAGTTTTCACATCATTTAGGTATTTGCTGAGGAGCACAATTTGCTGGATCCTATGTTAGAATTATATTTAGTTTTGTTAGAAACTGCAAACTCTTCCAAAGTGGCCATATCATTTTGTATTTCCACCAGCTATGAATGAGAGTTCATCTTGTACCACATCCTCACCAGCATTTGGTGTTGTCTGTGCTTTTGATTTTCATTCTAGTAAGTGTGTAGTGGTATCTATTGTTTGGTTTATTTTTTTAAGTTCCCCCCTTTTGTTTTTTGATTAGAATCTTTTTAAAGTGACCAGGGAAAAGATGAAATTTCAAAATACAGGTTTAGCTACTTTTTAACATCTTTGAAAGTTTCATAACAGAAGGAGGTTGGATATATTATTGAAGTGGGTTTTTTAACTTACATGTACATGTGGCTTATTAGTGAATGTTACTTGAAAAATGAAAATATAATACAATGTTTTGTGTATGCTACTATGAATAGTTTTCAGTTTTATCTTTGCTTGATTTATTAACACTGGTGGCTTATCTTCCCCAAAGCTTCTCTAGATTAGAGATTGTAGGATCGGTTAAAGCAACTATTTTTAAAAGCAGTTTTTAAGAATAATAATAAGTGCCTCGAGTGCCCAATCTGTGATACAAAAAAATAGTTGAAAAACTATTTTTTGAAAAACTGTAGGTTGAATTTGATAGAATCACATACAGCTTTGGAAACGCTGTCTTAGCATTATTGTCTGAGAAAGTAGATATGTTCATCAGGAACACAAGTATTATGTGTTACTATATACAACCCACTTTTCTAAACCTTCCTAATTTATTCAGCCAATATTCTTGGAGGGACTATAACATCAGAAATTATTGTGGTTGCTAAAGATACAGTGATAAGTTAGAGAAGATCTCTACCTCAGGGAACTCACAGCCTGACAGGGGAAACGGAAACAGTGTATGATAAACTTTGCAGGAACACAGGAGGGGCATGCACTCAGTTTTAGATTAGGGACCAGTGAAGTGTTCTGGAAGAGGTAGTTTCAAAATGGGAGCCCAAAAGAGGATATTCTACGTTAAGAGAAATAGAGAAAGAAACAGTTTGTACAAAGGCCTAGAGAACCATTCTTTGCATGATAACAAGTGGTTGGGTACAGTTGAAGAGAGTATGAAAAAAATGTCATCATAGAAATTAAGACTTGTGAAGGCCTTGTTACCAGGGAGTTTTATTATGAAGTTTGAACTTGATCTTGAGAACAAGATCTTGAAAGGTTTTCAGCAGAAAAGTAATATGGTCAGATTAGGTACCTTGGTGGGTTTTCAATAAATGTCTTTTCCTTTACCCTTATCCCCCATGACACAACAGTACTGTGTGTGACTTAATAATAGGACATAATCCCATTCCACTTTGTCTTCCACTTTTTCTTCCACTTGGTGCACAGTTCAAAAAATTTTCCACTGCTATATTCTGAACTCCTTGACATTAAAGCTGTATCTTGATTGCATATCCGAAGTGCCTTATGTGTATTATATGCTTATAATATGGTTGTTGAAATGGAGGCAGACATCTCTTTTTGGGAAGAATTGACAAATTGAGTAGCCAACTCATACCGAACTCCCCATACATTCTCCTTCCCAGTGTAGTTGAGACCTTTTTGTTTTTAAATGGTTCAGGAAATGAAATTTCACAATACAGAACATATATATCCTTACTGAATTATTGTATTCTTTCAGGAAAGCATATTACCGATAGTAAGCATAAAAGCTGTTGCACAAGGAAGGCTAAAATGGATCAAGCAAATGATGTTAGCAACTCACCTCTAAATTCTTGTCTTAGTGAAAGGTATGATGAAGCTATTATATTAAAATACTTAAATGAAACATTTTTCAGCATATGATATTTGTTTTTTAGAAATACATCTAATTTTCACACTAGTACTCTGGCCGAAAGCCTGGAAAAGGATCTTCTTTTGGGTTGGCCAAAATTTTCATTTAGTTTTTTCCATGTAATGGTTCTAATAGTGCTTAGTTTTCTTTCACTTTATTTGAAACAATTTTGTTAGATTGTATTGTGACAGCTCACATATTAGTGTGCATGTTAAAAAATTGTCAAAATTGGTCTTCTGGCCAAGATGGAGGCATAGATAGATAAACTTTGCCTCCTCATACAACCAAAAGAAGGACAACAACACATTTAAAAACAAAAAACAACCAGAACTGCCAGAAAATCAAACTGTATGGAAGTCCAACAACCAGGGAGTTAAAGAAGAAACATTCATCCAGACAGGCGGGATGGAGACGGGCAGCCAGGGCAGAGAGAATGTGTGGCGAAGCAGCAGCTGAAGGACCGGGCAGGCAAGGTAGAGGCTGGCAGTCCCACAATTGCATGCAGATAAACCTGGAGGGACGGTCCCTCAATTGCATGCAGATAAACCTGGAGAGACAACTGGGGAGTGAGACAGACTGTACAACCCAGGGTTCCAGCATGGGAAAGGAAAGCCTCAAAACCGCTGGCTGTAAAACCTGTGAGGGTTGCAGCAGTGGGAGGAATTCCAAGCCTCTTAGGAGAGTTCGTTGAAGGGGCCCACAGGTCTTAAAATGTACACAAACCCACCCACCCTGGAATGAGCACCAGAAGGATCCAGTTCACTTGTGGGTAGCAGGGGAAATGATGGTAAGCCAACCTAGCGGAGCAAGTGGCATTGTTCCTCTTCTGACCCCTTCCCCCCATACAGCACCACAATGCAGCAATGTGTGTTGCCCTACCCTGGTGAGTACCTGAGGCTCTGCACCTTACAGCCCCTAACACCTACAGCGCTAACATGTGTCAGGACAAAGAAATATGGCCCAAATTAAACAACAGATCAAAACTCAAAAAAAAAAAAATTAAGCAATGAAGAGATAGCAAATCTATCAGATGCAGAGTTCAAACCATTGGTAATCAGGATGCTCGCAGAAATGGTTGAGTATGGTCGCAAAATAGGGGAAAGAGCAAAGGCTATGCAAAGTGAAATAAAAATATACAGAGAACCAACAGTGAAGGGAAGGAAACTGGGACTTAAATCGATGATCCTGAGCAAAAGGAATAAATGAACTTTCAACCAGAACAGTATGAAGAAACAAGAATTCAAAAAAATGAGAGGCTTAGGAATCTGTGGGACCACTTTAAACGTTACAACATCCAAATCGTAGGGATGCCAGAAGAAGAGGGAGTGCAAGAAACCGAAAACTTACTTGAACAAATAATGAGAGAAAACTTCCCCAATCTGTCAAAGGAAATAGACTTCAAAGAAGTCCAGGAAGCTCAGAGAGTCCCAAAGAAGTTGGACCCAAGGAAGCACACACCAAGGCACATCATAATTACATTACCCAAAATTAAAGATAAGGAAAGAATCTTAAAAGCAGCAAGAGAAGAGGAGACAGTTACCTACAAAGGAGTTCCCCTAAGACTATCAGCTGATTTCTCAAAAGAAACCTTGTAGGCAAGAAGGGGCTGGCAAGAAGTATTCAAAGTCATGAAAGGCAAGGACCTACACCCAAGATGACTCTATCCAGCAAAGCTATCATTTAGAATGGAAGGGCAGATAAAGTGCTTCCCAGATAAGGTAAAGTTAGAGGAGTTCATCATCACCAAAGCATTCTTACAGGAAATGTTAAAGGGACTTTTTTAAGAAAAAATATCAAAATTATGAGTAGTAAAATGACGAAAAACTCACAACTATCAGCAACTGAATGTAAAAATAAAAACTAAGCAAACAACTAGAACAGGAATAGCATCACAGAAATGGAGATTACATGGAAGGTAATCAGCGGGGAGGGGGAGAGAGGAGAATGGGGTAAAAAGGTACAGGGAATAAGAAGTATAATTGGTAGGTACAAAATAGATGGAAATATTTAGTATAGGAAATGGAGAAACCAAAAACTTCTATGTATAACACATGGATATGAACTAAGGGATGAGGGAATGCTGGTGGGAGAGGGGTACAGGGCAGAAGGGAATAAAGGGGAGAAAAAAAACAGGACAAGTATTATAGCATAATCAATAAGATAGACTTTAATACATTATCAAAATTGGTGAACTTTGATGCAGCCATTTTAATATCGAAGGCAGAAGAAAATACGCAGCATTTTTGGCGTATTATGTTTTATTATTTCAAGAAAGGTTAAAATGCAAAAAAATATTCGTCCAGTGTATGGAGAAGGTATTGTGACTGATCACATGTGTCAGAAGTGGTTTGTGAAGTTTTTTGGGTACTATTAATGTTTTAACCAAATCTTTGCTGTGCGTTGGGAGATGTTCAGCAGCACCCTTGGCCTTTATCCACTAGAAGGCAATAGTGGGAGATAGCTAACATACTCAAAATATTGAAATCAATAGTTATTGGTGAAAATTAAAAATGTTTCTTTTATTTTACAGAAAAAAACTAAATGGACTTTTTGGCCAACTCAGTATTTTTAAACAATCTCCTTTTAGGTTAAGTTCTTTACTACACTAATTTCTACATTAGAAACATTTACTTTGTTTTTCTTACAATGTTGAATTCAGTGGTTTTTCTGTGTGTTCTTTGAAGTTTTTAAGTAACAAAACTACTAATGATAAAAGACCTTTGAAATACCAGTTTAAAATAAATTATTCATGTATTTTGAATCATTGCAGAGAAAATATGTGGCTATTACAGGTTCACCTTATATAATTTTAAAATTCAAAATATATAATTCCTGCCCTCGCTAGTTTGGCTCAGTTGGTTGGACATTGTCCTGCAAACTAAAAGGTCACTGGTTAGATTCCTAGTCAGGATACATGCCTGGGTTGCAGGCCAGGTCCCTGGTTGGGGACATGTGAGAGGCAACCGATCGATGTTTCTATCTCACATTGATGTTTCTCTCTCTTCCTCTCTCTCCAAAAATGAATAAAATCTTTTAAAATATGTATGTATAATTCCTAACAGCTAAAATTTATGTGTACTTTATACATTACTTTCAATGAGCATGTGAAACATAATTTAGTGATTATTTAATTCGTCATGGAATACTTTTTAAAATAACATAAAACTATTACAGAGTAGTACCATCTAATGATATGATTGAGAGTCCTTTCTAGCAGTAAGATTAGTACATGTTATTTGCCATATCTATTATCTTGAATAATTTGAGGGATTTGCTTTGTTTTCTTTTAGTTCTGGTGTTCTGCCATGTACACACATAACACCACAAAGAGAAAAGTCAGGTATGCTTAAAAGCAAGGCTTTTTATTTTTTAAATATTCTAAATTTTAACAAAAATAAAACTAATTTTTTTTGTGTGTTTTACCCCCAGTGGTATGTGGAAGCTTATTTCATACACCAAAGCTTATGAAGGTAAATATTCTGCCTAGTCTATTTTTGTTATGTATTAATTGAGAATTTGACAACAGTGTCGTACCTTTGCCTTGAGACTTAAAGATATGTACCTACGATCTCACATAGGAATCTAGTAAATGATAAATGAAAAAAATTAGTGAATAAAAATATTTTTTAAAATATTCATTATTGCCTTTCTATGAAATACGTTATTTTCTTTATTTCCAGGGTCAGACTCGGAAACATATTTCTGAAAGTCTAGGGGCTGAGGTAGATCCTGATATGTCTTGGTCAAGTTCTTTAGCCACACCACCAACCCTTAGTGCTACTGTGCTCATAGGTAATACTATCAAATGTTTTTTATAAGAAGGTAAATGGTGTTGATAAATTATCATCTCTAATACTTTGTTAAGAAAATATGAAAAGATAATTAAATAGTAATTAATTAGATAATCCTGTCTTTGATAAGTGTATTAGTTCTAAATAGTATTACCATATTTTACCATGTATAATGCGCACTTTTTTGCCCCAATTTTTGAGGGAAAAATAAGGATGTGCATTAGATGAGGGTAGTACTAATTCTGTATCTATATAATTGTTTTTAATTCTTTTATTTATGCTCATGCATTAGAAGTGTAACTCTAGAAAGCAATAATGACATCCGTATGCAAAATAATACCCTGGAATATGATAATCAGTTTTGTTTCTAAATATAAATAAATTAAACATTGAATTAAAAAATAAAAATGAAGGAGTTTTTTCCTGAAAGTCCGGGCCAAAAACATGGGTGCACATACACAGGAGCACCTATATACACGGCAAAATATGGTATTCTGTTTAGAGCAGACTGGTATCAATCAGAAGTACATTAGGTAGTATTCTGTAGGAATCAGATTAACTTATATGCAAATCAGGATTTTTTTTTATTCTAGCAAAAATGCATTCCATTTTGATTCCTCTTTAACTGAAAAAATAACTTTGTTCTGTTGCTCAGATACAGTAATACAGGTAAAAGCATGTTGAAAATTAAAGTGTTTAACATGTGATATGCCTTTAGACTGTATTATTATCGAAATACATGCTAATGTCTACAAGCATTAGCTTTCAAGTTGTGACCCCACAGCTTAATTTGATTCTCCAAGTCTTTGTGGACAGTATTACCTTAGAGTCAGGATCACCAAACCATTATTTCTTACCCCTTTGCAAATGGTACTAAGGAAGTGACTATAGCTTACCCACTATGTTGATTGACCTTTCCAAATAGTATACTTGGGTCAATTTATCTTGTTTGAAATGTATCGTTTAATCCAATAGTGTTTATGTCTTTTGATGTCTGACTAAAAAATATCTAGTCAGATAAAATCTAGGTTTTTGCATTAACTGTAGTATATGATATACAATACAATATAGGTCAATTGAAATTTTTTTTTTTACAGTCAGAGATGAAGGAGCACCTGCAGCTGTATTTCCTAACACTACTACCGCTGTAAGTAAATAGGAAAGATTGATTATGCTGTTGCAGTTGCTTATAATTTTAGGATGCCTTGAAAAATTATTTAATTTTGCCTTTTTCATTCCTTAATTTATGAGTTATCTAAGCCTTTGAGAAAGGCTCTAAACCTGTTTCTATATGTGATTTTCTTTGACTTTATGTGAGAAACTCTGCTGTGTGTCTGTTTAAGAATAACTTGAATATTTATGGATAATGAGAGTTTTTATATTAGTAATTTTAAAATATAACTTTTGTAGATTTTAAAAAGCAGTTTTTCTGACCATGATGAAAATCTGAGGAAAAATGATATGATTATTCCTTCCGGACCAGGCAATGAAATAAAAAATCAAATAGAAGCTAAAAGTCATGGTAAGTCTTTATGTTTATCTGAATGACTTTTTAACTGACATCATTGAAGTATTATTGCTCCTCTTAAAGAGAAAACACATTGCTTCTCCTTTCTTGATGGCTAAAGGTATTAAGCATAGAAACTAACTTAGATGAAAATGTTAAAAGCATCATGCTAAAACAAGACTATTCAAGATACTGTTGTAACACAAAAACAAAACCCATTACTCAAAGATGGGTTACAGAAATGAAGAATAATACTTAATTAACAAAATGTGAAGACCTTATTTTCTAATCAGAGAGTAAATATGGTTGCATAAATGCCAAGAGTTGCCTAATCATGTCATTGGAATATTGCATTTTTCTTAGTGTGTATATGTCTGTATAAATAGTAAGGATCGGATATCTGTGAGTGGGTATGTGTATATGTGTATAAAACCTCATTTTACTCTCAGTTGTTGTAGAGCCTCAAAATTAATTTAGACCATCTGGTTTAATAAATCTTAGAATATTAAGTATATATATTAAGAGTGGGTTAATTTTAACTGTGTAAACCTGGTAAAGAAAGGGTATTGGTGATGGGAGTATGAATAAAAGGCTTTGAGCTACATCGGAATCAGCTTTATCGGAAGAACGGGAGAGAAGAAGGTGTACCTCCACTCCCTAAAAAAATAGCTAGTACTCAGGATAACCCTTTCAAGGTTTAATTTTGGATTATTTTTTACATACTATTTCTGTGAAAAAGGTTGTGAGAATCATATAAGTTATATGGTTATATTATAAAATGTTATTAATATGCTTCTGTTTTGAATTTTATCAGGATTGGGGAATTCATTTGGTAAAGTAAGTAGCTGCAAAGATCATTTTGGAAGGTCAGTGCCAAATGTCTTAGAAGATGAAGTACATGAAAAGGTTGGAGATATTTCTGAAGAAGATAGTTTTTCATTATGTGTTTCTAAATATAAAAAAAGAAATGTACAAAAAATAAAAACTGGCAAGACTAGAAAAAATATTTTCAATGAAACAAAAATCAGTGAATGTGAAGAAACTAAAAAGCAAATAAAAGAGCGTAAACGTTCATTTTTATCTGAAATGGAAATATATGGCTATAATCCAATAGATTCGAAAATAATAAGTCAGAAGCCCTTTGGGAATGGAAGTGACAGAATCTCTGAGGACACTGTCCAGTCTCCAGCCTCTGAATGGTCTCAGCTAACTCTCTCAGGTCTAAATGGAACCCAGATGGGGAAAATACCCCTGCTGTATATTTCTTCTCGTCACCAAAATGATTCTGAAAAAGAACTCATAGGCACAGAGAAAGAATGTACCAGCTTTGTTACTTTAGAAGATTCTTTGCCACATATATCAAGTATACCAAAGACAGAGAAGATGCTAAAGGAGGAAATAGTAGTGAATAAGAGAGATGAAGGGCAGTGTCTTGAACCACATGAAGAGTACACTTTTGTGGTAAAGAACAGAGTGTCTGAAACTTCCCTAATAGCTTCTCCTCATTGGAGTATCAAAAAGTCTCTATTCACGATGAGAGAATCACCTGAAGGGACACCCGGTCCAGTTTTCTCAAATAATATGACTGATCCAAACTTTAAAGAAGAACCTGAAGCTTCTGAAAGTGGATTGGAAATATGTACTATTTTCTCCCAGAAAGAGAGTTCTTTAAGTACAAGTTCAGTTGATAATGGAAGCTGTCCAGTCACTATCAAACATACATCTGTAGCTTTGAAGAAGACAAATTTAATATCCACTTTGAGAAAGAAAACTAAAAAGTTTGTTTATGCTATAAATGATGAAACATCTTATCAAAGATTAAAAATGCAGAAAGATCAAGAATCAAGACAAAGTAACTATTCTGCCCAGTTTGAAGCAAACACTTTTGAAGCACCATCTGTAGTTACAAATGCTGATTCAGGTACCATTTTGTGTGTGTGTAAATAGTACATACGGTTATATGGATGGTGACAAGTTCTCTTATTCAAATATGTAAATCTCTTTCTTTAATCTTTTTAGCAAGCATACTGCCTCCTGTAGCTTTTCAATTTTTTAAAATCTTTATATCTTGTACAGTTGACCCTTGAACAACACAAAGGTTGGGGTGCCAATCTTCATGCAATTGGAAATTCAAGTATAACTTTTGACTTCCCCAAAACTCATTCATTCTTTGGTATCTACATGGGGCTAGTTCCAGGATACCAAAATCCTGAGATGCTGAAGTCCCTTAGATAAAATGGTGTAGAACAGTGCGTACAGTTAGCCGTCTGCATTCATGGATTCCCAAACACAGATGGAAAATACTGTTTTCCATTCATGGTTTGTAGCAGATACAGTACCTGGGGATAGGGAGGAACGACTATGTTTTTTGAAAAAACTCCACGTATACGTGGACCTGCTCAATTCAAACCCATGTTGTTCAAGGGTCAACTGTATTCAATAACAAGCAATGTCAACATATTATTGTTCAGGCCTTGATTACCAATGTTGAAAAACATTTCATCAAAGTTGCTAGATCAGTGTATATAGTATATGTATAATCATCACTCTTGAGGCAGAGCATGTGATTTATATAAGCATCAAGAGATTGGCTACATAATTCCTGCTTTAATTTCCAGTGTTTATTATATGCAAATTGGACAATTCTATAAATACGTTGTGCTATTTACTATGTATTTTCACTAAAGTAAAAAAATAGGAAAAAAACTAATAACTTCTAGCTAAGTTTAGTGTAAGCCAGTCCTAAAATAAAGCAGTGATTTTTATTTCTCTTACCTAATTTTCTTAAATATTTAGAGATTGCTGAGAGTTATTACCATATCTCTGTGTATCCAGAGTGTGTACACTGAAACTTGTTTTTTATTTCAGCAACATTTAAACATTTAAAGTTTATTTAATCAGTAAACTCTGTTTAAAGGTGATTAGTTCCCTATGAGAAGATTTTAGTGGGTTGGAATATCACAGTGAATAATAGGTTTGGTAGAACTGGAGTACAGAGGAACTGTTTGAGATTTGGGTTAATTTTCAGGAAAAAAAGTATTCAATGTTGTATGTATCAGTTAAAACCAATAAAACGGCTAATATGTAGTGGTGGTCACTGATGAAAGAAAATGAGATTAATAATTTTGACTGGTTAATAGAAAATTCAGAGAGCCTGTAAAATTGAACAGAGCAGTTTAATTCATTTGCCTTTATAAATTGAGATGATGTCGTCTTTCAGGCCCATCATAAGTAGAACTTCATTTTAAAAAGTTGACCTTTTTTGTGTTTTTTTCAAAGTGAAAGACTGAATTAACTGAAGGAAATGGTTACTTTTCTAATTCCTTTCTTTTGCCTTGCTTCTCTATCTTATGTTACATTGATATTAACAATGAATTTTTTTACAATTTTATTTTCCAATAAAATTACTTCGAACTTTATACTTGGAAGCTATCTGCTTTTTGGAACTATGTATTAATTTTAACTGAGTTGATACATATCACACACAAAAAAACTAGGTCCTATTTAGTTGGAAGATGTAATAACTTCAAAATAGAGAATATTTATAATTCTGTTTTAAATCTGACATTCATTTCTTGCTTTTCATGTACTTTTTGTTTTTAAGATACTACCTTTTTAACTTTGTAGAAAATATTTAGTGAATGTGATTGATGGTACTTTAATTGTATTTTGTTACTTTGTCTCTTTATGCATAGGTTTATTGCATTCTGTGGAAAAAAGCTGTTTACGGAATGATTCTGAAGAACCAAGTTTGTCTTTAACCAGCTCTTTTGGGACAATTCTGAGAAAATGTTCTAATAGTGAAAGCAGTTCCTCTAATAAAATATCACAGGATCTTGATTTTAAAGAATCAAAAATTAACGAACAAAAACTGCAGTCATTTATTACCACCGAAACTGATTATCTGTCATGTTTGCAGGGAAAATATTGTGAAGAGGATCCAGGACACCAAAGAGTTTCAAACATAAAAGAAAAGGTCTTACCTGCAGTATGTCACCCTGTAGTGTCACATTCAGAAATAGAATATAGTGGTATTCACTTTCAATCCCAGGAAAGCATTTTATATGGCCTTGAAAATACCAGCATTTTAACTCCTGATTCCAGAGATCCTCCATCAAACCCAGTTGTGATTTTCAGGGAAAAAGAATCATATAAAATGACAGAGAAAGTAAAATGTAAGAATGGTGAAGCTGGTTTTGATTTAAACAAAAATATTCCCATGGAAGAGAATCAAGAAATATTCATTTTAAATGAAAATTCTAAAAAAACTGAGCTGTTGTCACTTGAAAAATACACAATAGCATCACCTCCTATGAAGGTACAACTCAACCAAAATACAGATCTAGTAACCCAAAAAGATGAAGAAAAGACTGCTTTAATTTCAAAAATAACTATCAATTCAAACTCTGAAGAAATTTTCCAAGACAATGAGAAAGATTTTGTCTTTGAAATAACTAATGAATGGAATATTCCTGTTTTAGAAAATACTGAGAAACTTCAAGAGGCAGACCTCAATTGTGTCAGAGAACCTGTTCTGAAGAACTCTACCAATGTAGTAGATATAGGCACAGATGACAAACAAGCAGCAGAAGTGTCAATTATAAAAGATTTTGATTCACCAAATATAGTCCACGATCTTACAGAGAATAACAGAAAGAATGTGACTCGGCAAATGACTCTAGATAAAGATTCAAAATCAGACATGTCCTTGGTTATAGATGAAAAATCAAACCAAAATGATAATTACATAGACAAATTGGCGGGACTCTCAGATGCGATTTTAAATCACAATTTTGGAAATGGCTTCAGAACAGCTTCTAATAAAGATATAAAACCCTCTGAACATAACATTAAGAGAAGTAAAGTGTTCTTCAAAGATATTGAAGAACATTTTTCTACTAGCTTAGCTTGCATTGAAATTCTTAATGCCTCATCATTAGAAAATCAAAAGAAACTGAGCAAACCTCATGCACTTGATTCACAGTCAACTGATAATATATCTGGATGTGTGCAGAGTAGTACATTTGCTTCTGATAGTGAAAATAGTCACACAACTCCTCCAACTTTATCTTTGAAGCAAGATTTTAATTCAAACCATAACTTAACACCTAGCCAAAGGGCAGAAATCACAGAACTTTCTACTATATTGGAAGAATCTGGAAGTCAGTTTGAATTTACACAGTTTCGGAAACCAAGCCACATTATACAGAATAATCCACTTGAAATTCCCAAAAACCACATGCCTGTCTTGCATACCTCTTCTGATGAATGGAAAAATGTTGATTTTCATCTCACAACTAATCCCCTATTCATCAGTCAGGTGGATAGCAACAGGAAGTTTGAAGATAAGCGTAAGTTTGCTTGCTCATTGGAAACCAAATGTAACCAAAGTGCTTCTAGGTATTTAACAGATGAAAATGAAGTGGAGTTTAGAGGCTTTTATTCTGCTCGTGGAACAAAACTGAATGTTTCTAGTGAAGCACTGCAAAGAGCTGTGAGGCTATTCAGTGACATTGGGAATATTAGCGAGGAGTCTTCTGCAGAAGTAGATCCAAGAAGTTTCTCCTCAGGTCAGTGTAATCATTCTGTTGTTTCAATGTTTAAGACAGAAAATTATAACAATGGTAAAAATTTTAATGAAACAAATAATAAAAGCCAACTAATACAACAAAATAATATTGAGGTGATTGCTGGCATTTTTGTTGAAGAAAATTCTGGAGATCAGAAGAAATACATAGAAAGTGAAGATAACAAATGTACTGGTGCCAGTAGAAATTCTTGGAACTTAGGAGAATCTGATGGCAGTGATTCAAGTAAAAATGATACAGTTTGTGTTCATAAAGATGAAAATGGCTTGCCATGTATTGATGAACATAACATACATCTGAAATCATCTGGCCAGTTTATGAAGTGGGGAAACACTGAAGTCAAAGAAGGTGTGTCAGATTTAACTTGTTTGGAAGTTGTGAAAGCTGAAGAAACATTTCATGTTCATACGTCAAATAAAAACCAGTTAATTGCTAGTAAGATGGAACAAAACATAAAAGATTTTGACATTTTTGATATATCCTTTCAGACTGCAAGTGGGAAAAATATCAGCATGTCCAGAGATTCATTAAATAAAGCTGTAAATTTATTTGATCAAAAATATGCAGAAGATGAATTGAAAAGCTTTTCAGATGCCTTGAATTCTGAGTTACTTTCTGGAATAAATGTCAACAAATTAGATATGTCAGGTTATGCAGAAACAGATATGGTTAAAGACAAAACATTGAAAGAAAGTGACTCAGTTGGTAGTGAAAATCAATTACTGACTCTCCAACCAGGACTAGAATGTGAAACCAAAAAGATCAAAGAACCTACCATGTTGGGTTTTCATACAGCTAGTGGGAAAAAGGTAAAAATTGCAAAGGAATCTCTGGACAAAGTGAAAAATCTTTTTGATGAAAAAAAGCAAGGTAAAAATAGTGAAACCATTAATTTTAGCCACGGAGAGGCAAAGATACTAAAGGACAGAGAGCAATGTGAAGAAGGACTTGAATTAGCATGTGAGACCTTTGAAATAACTGACCCAAAGTATGAAGAAATGCAGAATTCTCTAAAGGAGAAAAAACTTGTTTCTAATGAGTTTCTTATGCCATCCAGGCTCTTAGGTGATAATTTATACCGACAAACTGAAAATTTCAAAATGTCAAATAGTATCACTCTGAAAAATGGAAACGTAGAAAAAGAAAAAGCAAAGAGTCCTACAACTTGTTATACAAATCAACCCACTTGCTTAGCCATTGAAAATTCGGCTATACCAGTTTACACAGGACATGGTAGAAAACTTTCTGTGAGAAAGGTTTCACTAGTTGAAACCAAAAAATGGCTTAGAGAAGGGAAATTGGATGATCAACCAGAAAAAATAAATACTTTGAAGGTTGTATGTTTAAAAGACTATCCTGAGGATTATGTAGAAAATCCCTCATGTGGAAATCACTCAAACAGTACCATAACTGAAAATGACAAAAATCATCTCTCTGAAAAACAAGATTCAACTTATTTAAGTGACAGTAGCATGTCTAACAGCTATTCAGACCACTCTTTTTGTCATTCCAATGAGGTATATAATAAATCAAAATCTCTCTCAAAAAATAAAATGGATAATTCTGGTATTGAGCCAATAGTAAAGAATTTCAAAGATGGAAAAAATACTCATTTTTCTGAAGTAATATCCACCATAAGAGAAGTAAATGCATGCCTACAAACTGTAAATGAAGATACTTGTGTTCAGAAATTTGTGACTGACTCTTCACCATACAAAAATAAAAACACAGCAAGTGGTCAAATGGTCTTTGTTTCACATGGACCAAAAATCAGAGAGAGATTTGCAGACAGCTGCACTAAGGTAATTAGGAAAAACACTGAGAGTAAATCAGGCACTGACCACACAAAAACTATGGCAGGTTATTGTGACATGGTGTGTGACTTGGAGGATTTCATTTTTCCTAACTCTCTAGATAGTAAAGAGCATAGCATGCATTCATGTAAGGTTTTTGCTGACATTAGTGAACAAATTCATAGCCAAGGTGTGTCTGGATCAGAGACAGTTTCTGAAATGTTACCTTGTCAGATTAATTTGAAAACTTCTGATACATGTAAATTTGATACAGCCTCCTCTAATGTTTGTGGGATTTTTAGCACAGCAAGCGGGAAATGTGTACAAGTTTCAGATGCTGTCTTACAGAAGACCAGACGGATCTCATCTAAGCTAGAAGAGAGTGCTGAGCAGCTTTTTTCCAAAGTATCATTTGAACCTAATGAGCATTCAGACAAGGTCACAAGAGAAGGTACTATGATACATACCCCCCAAAATTTACTATCATCTCCTTTCTCTGGATTTAGTACAGCAAGTGGAAAATATGTTCCAGTTTCTGAAAGTGCCTTAAACAAAGTTAAGGGAATGTTAGAGGACTTTGATTCACTCAGAACTGAATTTGGTCTTTGCCAGTCACCTACAATTGGACAAGATGTGTCAAAACTACTTCCTCTCTCCTGTATTGACAAGAGAACCCCAGAACACTTTGCAAACTATAAAATGGAAAAAGTCTGCAGTAAATTATCAAATAACTGTAACATTGGAAGTGGTTCTTCAGAAAATACTCACTCTTTTGAAGCTTCTCCATGTCTGTCTCAGTTTAAGCAGGACAAAGAACCCTTGGTTTTAGAAAGCAAAGCATTGCTTGTTGAAAACAATAATCATCTATTGAGAAAAGAACAAGCTTTACCTAAAAATATAAAAATGGAAATTGGGAAGCCTAAAACTTCCTCTAATCTTCCCATGACAACAAATAGAGAAATTTGTTCTACCTATTCCAAAAATCCAGAAAACTATTTTGAAACAGAAGCAGTGGAGATTGCCAAAGCTTTTATGGAAGATGGTGAGCTAACAGATTCAGAACTGCTAAGTCATCCCAAACCCTTTCTTCTCACCTGCCAAAACAAGGAAACGGCTTTGTTAAATTCAAGAATTGGAAAAAGAAGAGCAGATGCCCTTGTGATTGGTAAGTGTCACTTTCCTTTTGGTTTGCCAATCACTTTTAAAATTAAGTCCTTAATAATTCTGGCATGCTATCTTATAGCAATTAGGATATTATATACTAAGCATGTTTTTCCAGACTTTTGATACGTAGTTTGGGGGAATGTGACTTCATTCTTCTCTGAGTCTGTACCAAGAAGTCATGTTTTGAGATTCTCAATGTATTTTTAGAAGTTATTAATATAGTTATAATTGAGAAATTACTGTTAAAAGTTTGAATTTCTCTAAAAACTCTTATTATAACAGCTTGCATAATACAACTTATTAACTGTTTTTATGTATGTAAATACAGATAGCAGAAATTCAGACTCTGGCTATTAGTAACTTAAAAATTGATTTGCAGGCCCATCCTCCTGGGTCTGTCATAGTGCCCCATGCCAGAGCAAGCTGTGACCTTTAACCATTGCCTGGACTCTGCCCTTAGGCTGCCAACACTGAAGCAGGTTGCACAGTGAGGGGAAAAAAGATTGGTTTCTAGTTATAGGTGTTGGCTTGCTTTTCATTTTTTTTCTTTTTAATCTAGGAAGTGTTCTAAAATCAGTTATCCTTAGCAGACAGTATTCTGGTCTTAATGCCATTTGGACTGTATTTCAACTTCTCTTTAAATATATATCTAGCAACTTCCTTTAACTACTAGGATAATTAGATTAGGTATTTTTTCTGTTAATATCTATGATTACAAATAATACTAAATAATTGAATTTCTTGATCACTTACAATTAAAGTAAATGCCAAAACTGACTCTCCAGTGTTTAAGTGGCTGATCTTCAATAACAATCTCCTTTTAAAAATACCATAGACTCAGAATAGTTATCACAAGTCTTGTCCAGTCCCTTCATAATACAGAGAACAACTCTGAAGCCAGTCAGTTATCCTGGTGCCTTTTGACCCTAAGTTATCCTGGTGGATACAGATTTTGCTTAATCGGGTCTTACCCAGGCCTCCTTCTATACCAAGTTTATGTTTTGGACAGAGTGGTTAGTTTAGGATACTTAACCTTAAACTATTGCTCTTGTGCAGAATGCTGAAGTGCAGATGCTTAGTTATTCATAATTCTTTTATGGTAAGTAATGGCTTTATTTATAGGAATCCATTTCATTTAGTTTATGTATATACTGAAGGGAGATGACCTTCCGCTTAGAAGAAAAACAACTTGTAATAAATGTTCTCAACAGCATTGCTGTTTCATGTCCCTCACCTCTGTTATATATTTATATGTAAGTTTATACAGCTAAATCAGCTTCCGGTTACTTGACTAGTACTGGTCATTGTTAAACAATTAAATCACATTATCATCTAACACTTAGTAAACTGTTGCATGGACATTTTTACTTATTACTACAAAATCACTCCCTTTAATAAGGCATCAAAAAGCAAAGCACCTGTTATTACATATCAGTATGATATAGAAATGTATAACTAGGATCATGGTTTACTTTTACTCTCAGCCTTTGTAGAATTTTTAAATAAGAAGTAGTACTTCTACTAAAATTTGAATGTACTTTTGTTAATTTAAAAGTCTTTTCTCCTACTCACTGACTGTAATTTCAATGACCCATAAAATAAATTGCATCTTGAGTTTAATGAAAAAAATAGTTTATTTGGAGAAATTTTGCTGATCCTTATTGCCAGTAAGCCTAGGGTTACATTCAGTACGAGTTTATTAAAAAGTAGCTTATCTGTGGTTATCTGGTAATGTCTGTTTATCCCTAGACCAAATTAAACAGAGGTATTTTAAATAGTCAAACATAATAGAAATTAAATTGATACTGAAAAATGAATATTCTCCTTCAAAACAGAATGGTTGCTATTTAAATTATTATTGTGTATTTTTGCTGAACATATAGTAAGGGTCAGTACTTTAGTTTTAAAAAGTGGAGTATAGGCTTTTTTATTATTTGCTTTAAAAATCTGTATGGAAATTTCTTTTTAGGAGAACCCCCAATCAAAAGAAACTTGTTAAATGAATTTGACAGGATAATAGAAAATCAAGAAAAATCCTTAAAGGCTTCAAAAAGCACTCCAGAAGGTAAAATATGCTTTTTATCCATATTCCCCCCAATAAGTACTATCCATAATATTCTTATAGTTGTTTTTTTCAGCTCTTTTGAGTATATAGATAATTGGACAAGACCTTATAGTTTGATTTGTTAAACTTATATCTTGCTTTATTTATGTTAGTTTCTCCTTCATAAGATCTGGTATGATACAGAGTTTCTCTGTAATTAAGAAATGTGCAATGATTATAAAATAATGGTGTTTTAAATTAAAAAGCTACAAAAATTTAGTAAGAACTTAGTCTAAAAATTTTAAGCGTAGGTTCTGGAATTCGGTCAAGCTTTTGGCACTCGCATTTCACCAAAATCACTGTCCCCTAAGTCACACGGTTATCTCTCTGTGGGCAAGTCCAGCAGACATTTGTGACCTCATTAAACTCCATCTTTCACCATATTCAACATGGTTGGTCACTTCTGGGATCACCATTCTCCCGGTTCTCTTCTTATATGGCCTTAGTCGTCTTTGTTGATTCTTCCATATTCTTTCCTTACTCTAAACATAGGTCTGCCCCAGGACTCTGTCCTTGAATGCTTCCTCTGCCTATACTTCAGTGACTACCAAAATAATACCTGCAGCCTTTCGCCTGTCCTGGAACTGCAGACTGTTTTATTCTTTGTCAATTTGACACTTTCCTACTGGTGTTGCTAATATGCGCAGTTAATATGACCAGTGCTGAACCCTGATTCCATTCCTGCCCCAGACCTGCTCTTTCTATTGTCTTTCCTTTCTCACTGCCATTTTGCCAGCTGATCACACCAAAGCCTTGATGTCATCTTTTACCCTTATTTTCTCATACTTTATACCTAACCCATCAAGTCCTGTAGGTCCTACTTTCAAAATATAACAAGAATCTGATCATTTCTTCTCACTTTTACCCCTTCATCCAAGCCACTGTCATAACTTCTAACTCATCTCCCTGTTTTTGCCATTTCCTTTCTTCCAGGCTAGTTGCAACACAGCAGCCAGAATCACTATTGTAATACAAAGGTCAAATCTTACTTAAAACTGCCTGTAGCTTCCTATCTCACTTAGACTGAAATTAGAAGTTCTTACCGTGGGCTGCTTGAAAATAAATAAAACATATGTAACTATTGTTCACTATATACTTGGCTCCTGGTTTGAAAGGGAAGAGCTGAGATAGTAAGGGAGAAATCTACTAAATTGTGGAGGCTTAGTTCTGAAACACACAGGGTAAAATCCCACAACAGGCAGGAACACTTTGGAATTTTCTCACTAATGACTCATTTAATGATAGAGAGGTGAAGGTTATCTTAAAAACAGACTGTTTTCAATGTCCAGAAAACTATTATTTCTGTTGTTCTTTTCTTTAATTAATTTATTTCTAAGTATGTTTTATTGATTGTGCTATTATAGTCATCCCATTTTTTTCCTCCCCTTTATTTCTCTCCACCTTGCATGCCCCCTCCCTCCAGCATTCCACTGCTCCTTAGTTCATGTCCATGGTTTGTACATATCAGTTCTTTAGATTCTCCATTTCCTATACTTAACATCCCCCGGTCTGTTTTGTACCTACCAGTTATACATATTCTCTGTACCTTTTCCCCCATTCTCCTTCTTTACTGACAATGCTCCATATGATGTCCATTTCTGTGATTCTGTTCTAGTTATTTGCTTAGTTTGTTTTTGTTTTTGTATTTAGGTTTACTTGTTGATAGTTGTGAGTTTCTTGTCATTTTACTGTTCATGGCTTTCATTTCTTCTTTTTCTTAGATAAGTTCCTTGAACATTTCCTATAATAAAGGCCTGGTGATGGTGAACTCCTTTAACTTTACCTTATCTGGGAGGCTCTTTACCTGCCCTACCATTCTTTTTATTTTTCTTTCCTTTTTTTAGATTGTTAAAATACATTTGTCTCCATATACCCACCACCACTTTCCCCTGCTCCACCCATCCCCACCTCCCACCCTCAATCCTTCCCCACTTTGGCTTTTTCCATGGGTCCTTTATACATATTCCTTGACTTGACCCTTCCCCTTCTTTTCCCGTTATCCCCTTCCTTCCTGCCTTCTCGTTACTGTTGGTTTCTTTTTTCTTACGGTGTTGCTGCTTATATTTTTCTTGTTTGTTTTGTTGATTAGGTTCCACTTATAGGGGAGATCATATGGTATTTGCCTTCCACTCCATGGTCATTTTGTTTATCATAATGCTCTTCAGTTCCATCCATGCTATAACAAAGGGTAGTAGGTCTTTTTTTTCTCTCTACTGTGTAGAATTCCATTGTATAAATGTACCATAGTTTTTTGATCCAGTCTTTGGTTGATGGGCACTTAGGTTGCTTCCAGAACTTGGCTGTTGTGAATTGTGCTGCCTGCTATGAACATTGGGGAGCATGGGTTCTTTTGAATTGTTTTTTCAGGATTCTTAGTGTATAATCCTAGCAGTGCAATTGCTGGGTCAAAAGACATTTCCATGTTTAGCTTTTTGAGGGAATTCTAAACTGTTTTCCACAGTAGCTGCATCCATTTGCATTCCCACCAACAACAGGGTTCCCTTTTCTCCACAACCACACCAGCACTTATTGTTTGTTGATTTGTTTCTGATGGCCATTCTGCCCAATGTGAAGAGGTATCTCATTGTGATTTTAATTTGCATAATTCTGACGACTAGTGATGCTGAGCATCCTTTCATATGTCTCTGGGCCCTGTGTATGTCCTCCTTGGAGAAGTGTCTGTTCAGGTCCTTTGCTCATCCTATACTATTCTTAACATCCCTGTCTATTTTGTACGTACAAATTACACTTTTTAATCTCTGAACCAATTTCCCCATTTTCTCCCTTCCCTCTCCCCACTGACAACCCTCCATATGATCTCCATTTCTGTAATTCTGTTCCTGTTCTAGCTGTTTGCTTCATTTGTTATTGTTTTTTAGATTCAGTTGTTGATAATTGTGAGTTTGTTGTCATTTTACTGTTCATAGTTTTGATCTTTTTTGTTAAATAAGTCCCCTTACCATTTCATATAATAAGGGCTTGGTGGTGATGAACTCCTTTAGTTTTACTTTGTCTGGGAAGTACTTTATCTTCCCTTCTATTCTAAATGATATCTTTTTTGGATAGAGTAATCTTGGTTGTAGGTCCTTGCTTTTCATCACATTGAATACTTCCTGTCAGTCCTTTTTTGCCTACAAAGTTCCTTTTGAGAAATGAGTTGATAGTCTTATGGGAACTCCTTTGTAATTAACTCTCTTCTTTTCACTTGCTGCTTTTAAGATTCTTTTTTGTTATCTTTAATGTTTGGCATATTAATTATGATATGTCTTGGTGTGGTCCTCTTTGGGTTCAACTTGTCTGGGACTCTGTACTTCCTGGACTTGTATGTCCAATTCCTTCGCCAAATTAGGGAAGTTTTCTTTCATTATATTTTCAAGTAAGTTTTTTCTTTCTTGTTCTTCCTCTTTTCCTTCTGGCATCCCTATGATTCAGACGTTGGCACTTTTGGAGATGTCCCAGAGTCTAATTCTCTCCTTGTTTTTTTGAATTCTTGTTTCTTCATTCTGTACTAGTTGACTGTTTATTTCTTCGTTATGTTCCAAATCGTTGATTTGAACCCTGGCTTCCTTCCCTTCATTGTTGGTTCCCTGTGGATTTTCCTTTATTTCACTTAATGTAGCTTTCATTTCTTCCCTTATGCGTTTGTTGTACTCAATGATTTCTCTAAGCATCCTTATCACCGGCGTTTTGAACTCTGCATCTGATAGGTTGATTGTCTCCATTTTGCTTAGTTCATTTTCTGGAGTTTTGATCTGTTCTTTCATTTGGGCCATATTTCTTTGTCTCCTCAGTTTGGCAGCCTCCCTGTGTTTGTTTCTGTGTATTAGGTAGAGCTGTTTTGACTCCTTGCCTTGGCTCGCCTGTTACATTGTAAGAGGAAGAGCCTTAAGTATTCACCCAGGGGGCAACCCTCCTCACCGCTTTGTGGCATTCTATGTAGGGGAGCAGTTGGAGAAGGAACAGTGCTACTTGCTCAGCACTCACCCCATTTCCAGTCACTTCACCCACTTCCTGTATATGACTGATACCCCTCTAGCTGTTGCTCTGGTGATGGTTCCCAGAGTGGGTGGGTTTCTATACATTCTAGGACCTTGGGGACCCTTTAAATGGACTCTTCTGAGAGACCAGCAGTTTCTTTTGCCCTCTCAGCTTCCACTGGGCTTTACAGCCAGAAGTTATGAGGCTTTATTCTCGGCACTGGAACTGTGGGCTGCGTGGTCTGGCTTGGGGCTGGGATCGCTCATTCCCCAGGTGTTCCTCCTACGTTTTATCCACCACACATGAATGTGGGACTGCCTGTTCCACCAACCACTGCCACCACTGCTTTACAACCACCACCACCACCACTACCACACTACCCTGGTTCCCCATCTCCACTTCTGCCATTTGGATGAATATTTCTTCTTTAAATCCTTAGTTGTCAGACTTCTATACAGTTCAGTTTTCTAGCAGTTCTGGTGGTTTTTTGTTTTGAGGTTAGTTGTGATTGTTTTTACGGTTGTAAGAGGAGGCAAAGTGTGTCTACCTATGCCTCTGTCTTGGCCGGAACATATTATTATACTCTTAAAAATTATTGAGGATCCCAAAGAACATCTATGTATGTGGGTTATATTTATTTGTATTTACCATGTTAGAAATTGAGACTGAAAATATTTTAATATTTGTAACATTGTGCCTTGGTTATTTTGAAAATAATAGTCCACTTAGCTTTGCAGTTCTTCCAAATATTGGCATATTTTTTATACGATGTTGAGCAACCACTTTTTATCACCATTGATCTAATGTGAAAGTTTTAAGTGTTGGGCAGTTGTCAGGCTAACAGAGCCAGATAAAAGCTTTCCAAAATTCTAGTTTTTGCTTAAAAGCTTACAGTTTACCACTGACAATCAATATTGCTATGTGTTTTAGTTGTAGTGACAAGCTCACTGAAAATCCAAATCTGAATAATTAGTTTTTTGGTTATTTTCTGTAAAAGTGGAATTATGTAAAAACACGCATAAGTGCATTTCCTTGAGCTAATCATTGCACTAACATCTACAACAGGATGCACCAGTAGTATAAATGTCAAGTGAAAGAGACATATATGATATATTACTACTACTGCTGCTATTATTATTATTACTATTATTAAGAAAGCTTTAACAGCTTGGATTCCATAATGGAGTTATGGGCACCACCTGGGATTACCCTTTCAGATCCACTGTCTTACAGTATATACATACATAATAGTTTCAAAGTTAATATGCACATACACCTCATTTTTCTTTCTTACAAGTTTTCAGTATGTTATACAGTGTTTTATAAGTTCTTTGTTTGTTGGTGTTGTTTACTTTAGAACATATCCACATAGCTGCACATCACTCCCAATGAGTATGTAAGGATTGTCCTCATTCTTTTCATGATTGCGTAGTACTTGATCATGTTGGCTCTATTAATGCATTTTTTGACTAGTCCCCTTTCAATGGACTAGTAGGAGGTATAAGAAATACAAGTTACATACTGAGAATAAATAATATCTAAAGTTTAGCTTCTAAACCTTTCAAGACTAAATCTTAAATTTGATATTTGTGTTGGCAATCAGCTAATGCCTTTCAGTTATAATTAACATCAGCTGACTAACTTTATTCTGATTTCTTTTATATGTTTGTACTGTGAGTTATTTGATTTATGGTCATCAACTTATGAATCAAATATGTCTTTTGTAGTTATTTACTGAGCATCTATTATATGCATGGAAAATGTTAAAGTTTATATCAAGTTTTGTGTAAATATTTAAAATAATATGTAATAAGTAAATATAGGAAATAAAATCTCCCATTAGAATTTCATTAATATCTAACATAAATTGCATTTTTATTAAACATAATGTAAAATAACATTTTTCTAGGCACAATAAAAGATAGAAGATTGTTTATGCATCACATTTCTTTAGAGCCAATTACCTGTGGACCCTTTTGGTAAGACATCTTTACATTTTTTTAAATTCTACTAATATATTGTAGGAAAAGCATGCATGTTTTTTACATAAATATTTCTAACAAATAATGGCTCTAACATGCATATAAGAGTTAACGCTTTCCTCTTGAAAGCCTACATCAGGGTTAAATCATTGTGTACTTGGGTCATACTTTATAGTGCTGTCCATTTACTAGCTCATTTTATTTTTAGAGTCATAACTTTATAGTTAAACAAATTTTATGCCATTTTATGGCTGAGGTACTGAAGTTAAATGGAGCTAAGAAAGTTACTCCAAGTTCATTATCAAAAGATGGAATACATGGAAAATATTTTTATCTCTCCTCTAAAATCTTACTAAAATTATTAAGATTTTTTTAAAATGTATAAATCCACAAGAACAATGATAAGAAGAAACAAAATTTTGGAAGTGAAAAAGCATGAAAGACTTAGAAAGCCCATATGTGTCATTAGAGCGAGTAGAGAAAGCTACTCACTCAATTAAGTTTTCTATAAAGAACCTGAGAGACTGAGGTTGGCAGCAACATGTACTGAAGGTGAAGTAGAAAATAGGAAGATTCATTGAAATTTTGTTTAAGAAACATCTATGTCCCTTCCCCCATTGCAAATAGGCAGTTTTCCTTCTTCCAGAAAGTTATTTTCTGGAAAAGAGGAATTGAAAGGATTCTGAATTGAGGATGAGGTGGTGGGAGGGCACTGAAAGCAGAGATTAAGTAAAAATCTATATATTGGTTAGTGCGATTCTCTGTCCTCCTTCCCATACTTGGCTTCCATTGCTGGCAGCTGAGCCTCCGGGTAGAAGACTGAAAGGTTTTTTCCTGGGGAATATGACCAGCTCAGTAGACAGAAGTAAAAATACTGACAGTTGCAACAGCATAGCCATGTCACCAGACAGTGAAGTCAACAATGGGCAAGCCCACCAGCACACAGCTTTCAGTCAGCTCTTCAGTGCCTCAGTCTGAAATAAGAACAGCTAATAAAGGAATACCTGCCTCTAGAAGAAAGCCTGTATGAAAGATAGTATCCAAAGCACAAAGGAAGGGAAGGAAGGGAAAATAAAGAACTTAGAGGGTATAGACTGCAAGGAAAAGAAAACTTTTAAAAAACTTACTAATATTCTCAGGAAAGGGAACATATTGCATCCTTAAAATATGTACAAAAGAGCTCTTAGAAATTAAAAATATGTTAGCACAAATAAATTAACTCACTGGAAGTAACATAAGATCAAAGTTACGAACACTCCCACAATGTAAAAAAAGAGAAATAGATGAAGAAAGTACTAAAAAGATAATCAGAAGAGTTTGAAATTTTGGAGTTTGAGAAAGAATGAACAGGAGAAATGAATAGAGAAATTTTCAAATAATTTATTTTATCAGTACATGAGTGTCCTTGGTTAAAAGGATCCTCAGAGTGAGCAAATGAATTAAATGACCCACATTAAGGGACACCCTTGTGAAATTTTTTAACACTAGGTACAGATAGGAATCTTAAATTTTTCAGAAGGCAAAACAAAGAAAATCAGGTTTCAAACAAAGTTTTAAAGAGTTATATGGCATAAATCCTCTCATCATTAATGATGGAGGCCAGAAGATTATAGATTCTATAATGTATAATACAGAGCAATGCCCTTAAAATTCCAAGAAAAAATGATTTACACCCCAGAATCTTAACACTGATCAATATATCAAAGAAGTGTGAGTATAGACTTTTTATTCAGATGCCAGTTACCAGGTTTATCTCTATAGCATTTACTACCATGTGACATATTTGTCTGTTTCCCTCCACAAGATTGTAAACTCTGTGATTTTATTTTGTGACTCTATTCCCCCAGCCAGAACAGTGCCTATCACATAGTAGGACCTCATTAAATATTTGATGGATAGATGAATGGGTGACTAAATTACTTCTAGGGTAACTTCAATTTCCAGGGGTTTCAAGTTGGGTAAAAGGAAGTATGGGGTTTTCAAAAGATGTCAGTTAGGGAGAACATGTATGCTAGGGAAGATGATAAATTTAACTTTTGCCATGTTGAGTTTGAGAAGAGTGTGGAACAACATAGGGCTGTCTGGTGCTTTGTGCATTTTAAAGTGTAGGAATAACACCTAGGGGAAAATCAGGCATGAGATACAGGTTAATGTTTTTATTGTTAAGTGGATGATAATTTAAGCAATGGATATGACTGACCTTGCCCAGGGAAGTGTTTAGGAAAGAAATCTGACTTTGGAGACAGGCATATTTTTAAGAGTCAGAGAAGAAAAAAACAGCCAAAAGAAAAAACAGAAAAAGAAACAATCAAACAAAGGGGCAATGGTGGTATAGATATTAGTGGTATGAGTTTTAAGAAGAAAAAAGGTGTAGTAGAATGAGTGTACACATGAAACAATATTTGTTTTTTGGCATTTGTGAGATTATTAGTAACTTTCTTGAGAAAAACATCTACAGAGTAGTGGGAGAAATTAAGAGTTCAATGAATCGAAATTGAGGAAGTGGAAATAGCTAGTTTAGATTAACTTATATAGGAAGGTTGGCCACGAGGGGTAAGGTAACAGTGACCATGAATTTGAAGACAAGGCTGAGGAAAAAGTGTTTAAAGAGTGGGCAAGGCTTTCTGGCTAAATGAAAGGAGCACTAAAAAGAAAAAAGTATCAACAGGTGGTAGAAAAAGAAAGGAAAGAGGTAGAATAATGACTGAAAGGTGGGGCTCCTGAAAAGATTGAATTACTTGGGGTCAGGAGTTCAGGTGAAGGCATTAGCCATGAAAAGAAGATGGGTAGCTCTTTCTCTGGTAAAAGAGGTGAATAAGGAGATAGACACAAGGATTTGTCTTTGACAGACTCTTCCATTACGGGAAGTAGATGGTAAAGTCAAAGGCTGGTGTCAGCGTGTGAGAAGTTGTAATGGACTTGAAAAGTGTGGTATTGTTCTGGATGGCAAATGCAAAACAGTTACCAGAATAGTATCACCATATAGCAGTGAGGCTTCCCCTCCCCCCCAAAATGCGTATTCCATAACTTGTGTGTGCGTGTGTATACATTTACTGGTAACTAATCAAACAAATGTTTTCTCCCCCTTGTAGCACAAATAAGGAAAGGCAGAAAATACAGACTCCAAATTTTACTGAACCAGGTCAAGAATTTCTATCCAAATCTCATTTTTATGAACAACTGACTTTGGAAAAATCTTCAAGCAATTTATCAGTTTTGGGGCAGCCATCTTGTAAGGTTTCTGCCACAAGAAATAAAAAAAGGAGACACTCAATGACTACAGGCAAACTGACGAGAGTCTTTGTCCCACCTTTTAAAGCTAAATCACATTCTTACAGAGATGATCAGTGTCTTGGCAGCAATACTAATTTGGAGGAAAAGAAACAAAAACCAAGCAACGTAGTTGAACATGGCTCTGGTGGTAGTAAAAATAATATTATTGACAGTGAAATTCATCAGTCTAACAAAGATAACTCCAATCAAGTAGCCACTATACTCTCAACAAAGTATGAAGAAAAACCTTTAGGTATTGTGTGAAAATTTGTGTTGACATATTTTTGCCTTTCAGTTACATATTTCTTAGATTAAATAATGCCTTGAGCATTTCCCCCCATTTGTGATTATTAATAATTTCAAAACCTTTAATGCTAGAGTTTTTCAAGGCCAAAGATTAAGTTTAAATTATTCTATTTTCTTTCCAAGATAATTACTTGTGGACACAAAATCTAGGGCTGCTATTACTAGAATTTATATATATTTTAAGATTTTATTTATTTATTTATTTTTAGAGAGAAGGGAAGGGAGGGAGAGAAATATCGATGTGCAATTGCCTCTCACGCACCCCCAGCTGGGGACCTGGCCTATGACCCAGGCATGTGGCCTGACTGGGAATCAGTGTGCCAACCCTTTGGATTACAGGCCGGCACTCAATCCCCTGAGCCACACCAGCCAGGGCTGGAATATATTTTAATCAGGCTACCAATTTTCTTCCAAATCTGAAATAAAAATAATAGATTTATTTCTATTCTTTAGAAGTTGAAAATTTTTTTAATTCCTGAAGATTTAAAATTAGAGCTGAGATGTATAATTTTACAAAGCAAGGGTTGTACCTTTAAATTTTATATCAATACTATTTTTTGCTAATTACTTATTCCTTAGCAGATTTAACTGCAAATCTTCAGAATGCCAGAGATATACAGAATATGCGGATTAAAAAGAAACATGAGCAACGTATTTTTCCACAGCCAGGAAGTCTGTATCTTGCTAAAACATCCACTATGCCAAGAATCTCTCTCAAAGCAGCAGTAGAAGGCCAGGTTCCTTCTGCATGTTCCCATAAACAGGTATACCTTTGTAAACAATGCTAGTAGCTTTAAAGTAACATATAATTTTATGTTATTAACTAGTATCTCCAAATTGTTCTGTTTAAAGAAAGAATCAATCGAAGCAGGAATGAATGGGTGAATGAAATCATCATGTTTCCTAATCCACCTACAGGGGCAGCCTTCTTCTTCTATGGTGTCTTATCTTGCAAAGTGATCTGTGCTTCAGAATTAGTATTTCTCTTCTCCCTTCAGAATGTGTTTTATTAGTATGAGTGCTCTCAGCTGGGTGTTAGAGGAAAGTAGTCTTACTGATTTTAAATTGTGAATAACTCATACTCCTACACCCACTAAGAGCTACTCACATTTTTAAAAGAGGATTCTTATTAAGCCATTACGATCTGGTTAGCATTTTAGGCCCCGGAGAAGTGAAAATGACATTGGTAATATTAATAGATAATATTTATTGAGTATTTTCTATGTGCTAGACACTCTTCTAAGTCCTGTGCCTACTTGTTATATCTCATTTAACCTTCACAAGCACCTCAAAGAAAGACACCATTATTTTGTTCATCATTTTACAAATGAGAGGAATGAAGCACAGAAAAGGTGAAGTAACTAAAAAGTCACGTAAGTCACATAACTAGCAAGTAGAAGAGCCACAATTCCAAAGCAAGAAGTCTGACTCCACAGTCAAGTCTGAACAAAGAAAAAGATACTCTGGGGTCAGGCCTCTGAGGTAAAAGTGACAGCCTCCAGTGGAGGTTAAAAAAATTAAAAAGTAAAAAAGTAAGTAAATTATATAGTTTATTAGACTGTGATAAATACTATGAAGATAAAGCTGGAAAGGGGGATTAGGGAGAGTTAGGTGAGGAACGGTGCAGTTTCTTAAATAGAGTAAGTGTCAGGGGGCTTCATTAGGTCTGTGACATTCTATCAGTGACCTAAAGGAAGTCAAGGAAGTAGGCCCAGCCTGTGTAGAAATCTGACCTCCTAAGGTCAGACTCCCTGAAATACTTACACTTTTTACTGTTCTCTTCCTTCTAAATTTTTGGACTTAAAAGTTTTTGTAAAACATTGTTTCTTTTTTCAATCCTGGCAATGACTTCTGATGGCAGATCTATCAGGAAGAATGTACACAGGGGAATCAAAAAGATGCAACAGACTCTCAAATGTGTGGGTCATTTACAGTACATCAGTATTTTAGCTTCTAGTAAATAAGTTAAATGTTTTTATAGTGATTAATATTTAAATGAAAATTTTGGGTAAATTCAGTTTTGGTGTCTTACAATTGCTTTTATTCTATGAAACATTCTCTTTTGTTTGATTTTTTCATTCATAATCAGATTTTTCTATTATTTCTTTTGTGCAGCTATATATGTATGGCATCTCTAAACATTGCATAAAAATTAACAGCAAAAATGCAGAGTCTTTCCAGTTTCACACTCAGGATTATTTTGGTAATGAAGAGGCTGGAAAGGGAGCACAGTTGGCTGATGGTGGATGGCTCATACCCTCCAATGATGGGAAGGCTGGAAAAGAAGAATTTTATAGGTATTCTATGTAAAAAAGATTTGTGTTAACTTTTACATATTCCATCATCCCTCTTCCTCACAAAGACCTCTTTTTTCTCTTTCCTTATCCCTCTTGAACTTAAAAAGTTGTCCAGTAATCAACTTTTTATATATTGAATCATTTTAAAAGCATTATGATTCAATTGACATTCTGTTGAAATTTTTTTTTTAAATCCTCTCCCAAGGATATTCCTTCATTGCTTTTAGAGAGGAAAGGAGAAGGGAGAAAGAGAAATACCGCCACAAGAGAGAAACATCAATTGGTCACCTGCCGCACACTCCTTCCTGTACCGTGGATTGAACCCACAACCCAGGCATGTGCCCTGACTGGGAATCAAACTCGTACCCTTTCAGTTATGGGTCAATATTCCTACCAACTGACCCACATGGCCAGGGCATGTTGAAATCTTTTTAAAAGTAAAATTGTGCTTTGTCTTAGGATTTAATTAATTGGCTTTTCTTACATTGGGACACTTATGCATTTACTAAATAAAGACTGATAAGAAAAATTAAACTTGAATTTGCCTATTATAGGCCCCCACATACATAGTTATATCATATTCTCTTTCATTGTGTATTTCAATAAATATGAAATAGAAATACACAATGAAAATTCATACATTTCAATAGAGCAGTCTAGAGTGGGAAAGAGAATTTTTAAAAAAGTAGGTTGGCCCTGGCAGGGCAGCTTAGTTGGTTGGAGCAAGGTTCTGTGCACCAAAATGGTTGCAGGTTCTATCCCCAATCAGGGCATATAGCTAGGTTGCAGGATTCTATCCCCAGCTGGGTGCTTATGGGAGTCAACCAATCAGTTTCTCTTTCTCTCTCTGTCTTTCTCTGCCTTTCTCAAATCAATGAAAAAACATCCTCCGGTGGAGGTTAAAAAAATTAAAAAGTAAAAAAGTAAGTAAATTATATAGTACATTAGAATGTGATAAATACTATGAAGATAAAGCTGGAAAGGGGGATTAGGGAGAGTTAGGTGAGGAGCGGTGCAGTTTCTTAAATAGAGTAAGTGTCAGGAGGCTTCATTAGGTCTGTGACATTCTATCAGTGACCTAAAGGAGGTCAAGGAAGTAAGCATAGGATCACGTGGGAACAGCATCCGCATTCCAAGGCGCAGCATGCTATAGGAGGAAGGTTAGTGTAGCAGGAGTAGACTGGGTAGCAAAAGTTGTGGTAGGTGAAATAGAGGGCAGGACCTTTCAGGTCTTTGTAAGAACATTGGCTGTACTCTGAGTCACCGGTTTCCAGATATATATTTATCTACATAAATATGTATATTCAGATATATACATTTATAGAGAGAGAAAGGAAGAGAGGGAGAAAGAGAGGGAGAGAAACATCAATGTGTGGTTGCCTCTTGAGCACTTCCCACTGGAGACCTGGACTGCGATCCAGGCATGTGCCCTGACTGGGATTGAACCAGCAACCCTTTGCTTTTCAGTCTAGCACTCAATCCAGTGAGCCGCACCAGCCAGGGTGGACTCTAGATATATTTTGAAGGTGGCACCTTGAGCATTTGCTCAAGGATTAGATGATGAGTGTGAGAGAAAGAGGAGTGAAGATGGCTCCAAAAGATTTTGGCAGCATTTGGGAGGATAGTTACCATGTACAGAAAATTGAGAAGACCAGGGATGGAAGGGATATTGAGAGTTCATTTTGGGACATTTGAAGTTCAGGTTATCAGTAGACATGCAGGTAGAGATGGTGAGTAGGCAGTTGGAGTTCCTAGATAAAATATAGGCTAAAGAAATCAGTTTGAGAGTGGTCAGGATATAGATGCAATTTAAGCCATGGAAAAGAGACTTAGAGCAACCGCAAGTTAGAAATAAATGCCAAAGAGTGGTGTTGCAAACCAAGTGAAGATGGAACTTTGGGGAACAGAGAATAACCAGCTATGTCAGTGCTGCTAGTAGATAAAGTAAAATGGGGACTGAGAATTCATGGCTGAGTTTAGCAACATGGAGGTCATCACTAATCTTAGTAAAATAATTCAGAATTTTGTGGGGCACAAGCCTGATCAGACTGCAATAAGAGGGTGGTGGAGGTAGAGGAGGTGGAGAGAGAGAATGTAGTAATTCTTTTATTTTTAAATACATACTTTATTGATTATGCTATTACAGTTGTCCCATTTTTTTCTCCCCTTCATTCCCCTCCCTGCAGTGCTCCTCCCTCCAGCATTCCCCCATTCCTTAGTTCATGTCCATGGGTCGTGCATATAAGTTCTTTGGCTTCTCCATTTCTTATACTGTTCTTAACCTCCTCCTGCCTATTTTGTACCTACCATTTATGCTGCTTATTCCCTGTACCTTTTACCCCATTTTCCCCCCACCCCCTCCCCTCTGATCTCCATTTCTGTGATTCTGTTCCTGTTCTAGTTGTTTGCTTAGTTTTCATTTTTGTTTTCTGGTGGTTCAGTTGTTGATAGTTGTGAGTTTGTTGTCATTTTACTATTCATAGTTTTTTATCTTATTCCTTTTCTTTGATAAGTCCCTTTAATATTTCACATAATAAGGGCTTGGTGGTGATTAACTCCTTTAACTTGACCTTTTCTGGGAAGCACTTTATCTGCCCTTACATTCTAAATGATAGCTTTGCTGGATAGAGTCATCTTGGGTGTAGGTCCTTGTCTGTCATGACTTTGAATACTTCTTGCCAGCCCCTTCCTGCCTGCAAGATTCCTTTTGAGAAATTGGCTGATAGTCTTAAGGGCATTCCTGTGTAGGTAACTCTCTCCTTTCCTCTTGCTACTTTTAAGATTCTCTCCTTAGCTTTGATCTTGGGTATCTTAATTATGACGTGTGTTGGTGTGTTTCTTCTTGGATCCAATTTCTTTGGAACTCTGAGCTTCCTGGATTTCCTGGAAGGCTATTTCCTTCACCAGATTGAGGAAGTTTTCCTTCATTATTTGTTCAGATAAGTTTTCAATTTTTTGCTGTTCCTCTTTTCCTTCTGGTACCCTTATGATTCAGATGTTGGAACATTTAAAGTTATCTTAGAGGTTCCTAAGCCCCTCCTCATTTTTTTTGAATTCTTGTTTCTTCATTCTGTTCTGGTTGAATGTTTATCTCTTCCTTCTGCTCCCAGTCGTTTATTTGAGTCTTGGTTTCCTTCCTGTATATTTTTACTGTTGGTTCCATGTATATTTTTCTTTATTTCACTTTGCATAGCCTTCACTTTTCCCTCATTTTGCAACCATACTCAACCAATTCAGTGAGCATCCAAATTACCAGTGTTTTGAACTGTGCATCTGAGAGGTTGGCTATCTGTTCATTGTTTAGTTCTGTTTTTAGAACTTTGATCTGTTCTTTCATTTGGGCCATATTTCTTTGTCTCAGTGCATCTGTTACGTTGGAAGGGGCAGAGCCTTAGTATTCGCCAGAGCGGGGCAACCCAGGTCGCTGCATTGTGATGCTGTGTGTGGGACAGGGGTCCAAGAGGGAACAATGCCACTTGCTTGGCTCTTGGCCACTTTCAGCCACTACCCCTGCTACCCACAAGCAAATTGGGCCCTTCTGGTGCCGATTCCTAGGTGGGTGGGTTTGTGTACGTTCTAGGACCCTGTGGGTCTCTCCAATGAACTCTCCTGTGAGGCTGGGAGTTTTTCCTGCCACCACAACCCCCACAGGTTTTTACCTCCAGGGGCTTTGAGGCTTTCTTTTCCCGCACTGGAGCCCTGGATTGCATGGTCTGTCTCGCTCCACAGCTATTCCTCACTGTTTATCCACACGCAAATGTGGGACCACCCGTGCTCCAGTGGCTGCCTTGCCACATGTCCTCTCCTCCCCAGCTGCCCACTTCTGCCCCTCCTACTGGTCTAGATGAGTGTTTCTTCTTTAGTTCTTTGTTGGACTTCCATACGGTTGGATTTTCTAGCAGTTCTGGTTATTTTTTGTTTTTAAATTTATTGTTGTCTTTCTTTTGGTTGCGTGAGGAGGCAAAGTGTATCTACCTATACCTCCATCTTGGCCGGAAGTCAGCCTCAAGCAGAATGTAGTATTTCTTTCAGGCATTGCCTAAAAGAGAACCAGAGGAAAAGGGCAGTATCTGGAGAAAGCAGTAGGATCAGAGGGTGTTAGTTTTGTTGTGTTTACTTGTTTTATGGTAGAAACACTTTTTTTTTATGCTGCTGGAAATTGTCCAGTAGAGGGGAGCAAAATTAATGATTCAGGGGAGAGAAGAGGCATTTCTAGGTCAATGTCCTTGATTAAGCAAGAAAGGTTGGGAACTTGGGTATAAATGACAGGAGAGGACAAAGTGAAGGGTGCAGATGCTGGTGGTTGGTATATGTGAGAGTGGAAGCTTATCAAAGTTCTCTTTGATTATTTCTGCCTCCTTAGTACTAAGAGTGAGAATGGGAAAAGAGGAGGAGTTTGAGATTTGAGTAGAGAGGGGGGCACCAGAACTAGAGAGGGAAGTTCACATGTGATTTCTAAAGACAGTCTCTAATATGAAAAGTAATCCCAAATATAATTAATTTAAATTAAGGATCTCATTTTCCAGTTGAAATAATTGTATTGACTAATATGTTAAGTGGATTTATATTATTTTGATACATATCAAATCATTTTCTAAAATTATATTGCTTACTGATTATACATTAACTCAGAAATGTATTGAATGTTCTTGTATAGTATAGATTTTTGCTAAGAATAATCATGGTTACTGAATTTAATATTATCTTATGTATTTTTTACTATATTATTGCACTTTGTTTAGGGCTCTGTGTGACACCCCAGGTGTGGATCCAAAGCTTATTTCTAGAGGTTGGGTCTTTAATCACTATAGATGGATTGTATGGAAACTGGCAGCTATGGAATTTGCTTTTCCTAAGCAATTTGCTACTAGATGCTTAAACCCAGAAAGGGTGCTTCTTCAGCTAAAATACAGGTGAGTTTAAAGCATTGCATTATGTACTCATATCCTGCAGTGTGATTCAGACTTTTGTGTAGCCTGTGACTTCATGCAATAGAGGTACACGAGCCAGTGAGTGGTGACCTTGCCATCCCACATTGGTATGTAGTTGTATGGAGTAATTCTCTTGTCACCCCACTGACCCCACTTAAGAGAAATTGCACATTCATACACCTCTTACTTCCCTCTTCCCTCATCCCCTCCTTAACTTCTTTGCATATGAGAAGGATATTAATCTCCAGTTTGACCCACTGTTCGCAGTTTGCTAATAAAGTATTTTTGCATTTTGGGGGTTTTAATATTTAATTCATATTTTAACAGTATAAAACTTAATATACTGCTAGCAACCAAATTTTGAATTCTCTTCTATCTCAGCATTTCTTCATTAAAGTTACTAAATTTTTATTTTCAATTATTCGGTGACTGTTTTTACATTGAAATTGTAGACTCACAATTCCTAAAATAATGCATTTTTCTTTTTCTTTTTAGATATGATATGGAAATTGATAGAAGTCAAAGATCAGCTATAAAAAAGATAATGGAAAGGGATGACACAGCTGCAAAAACACTTGTTCTCTGTGTTTCTGAAATACTTTTACCAAGCTCAAGTTTACCTGAAACTTTTAGCGATAAAATGAGTGGTGTGGATACCAGCAAAGCGGCTATTGTGGAACTGACAGATGGATGGTATGCTGTCAAGGCCCAGCTGGACCCTCCCCTGTTGGCTCTCGTACAGAAGGGTAGATTGGCTGTTGGTCAGAAGATCATCACCCACGGAGCAGAACTGGTAGGCTATCCTGATGCCTGCTCGCCTCTTGAAGCCCCAGAATCTCTTATATTAAAGGTATGTTAAATTAATGCACTCTCTTGATAAAAAATCAGTCACTGGTTCAGTTAAATTTTAGAAAGGCTTTACATTTAATTTTTTAAATATACTTATGACTGTTAAGGATATTCTGTTTTTTGAAAATGCACTATAATCTCAGTATAAGCAGCAGTTTCCTCAGACATACTTCTCAGAACTTATCCCCAACATTAAACTGCATGTGACTGTATAAGGCATATGGCGCCCCCCAAAAAGCAGTTATTGATGCAACCCTCCCTGACCCTCTATTCAGGCCCCACAAAGACAACCATTGCAAATCCTGTTGGCTGTTCCTTGGCTTATATGCTGTATCTTCTTCTCGCCTTCAGTTTAAACATAATTAACTATTAGCTTCCTGCCTCAAAAGAGAGCTGAAGTGTGTATTCAATGTTTACGTTATAATGACTATGAAAAATATTTTTTGCAACTCAACATACATATACTATGATTACATTTCCTTTCTTTACAACTTACTGTTTTCCCTGGAGTTACTGTCTTACCCTTTTTCTTTTCCCCCTTAATTTTCTGTGTCCTTACCACCAACTCATTTCCACACAGGAGCTATATAAAACTCATCTCAATGTGTTAAAACAACCTTTCTTGGTTCCATTTCTTGTTCTTGGAGATCCTTGCACCTCTCCATATTTCAACTTTATTCTGAAGAGGAGATTTTCTATATAAGCTCCACATGTATCATTCTGGACAGTATTTTCATCTCTTTCTGTGTCATTAGAATTTCCTGAATTTCATATCTTTCTAGATTTATTCTTTAGTTTTAAGCACACACAACCTCCAGAGGCTTCTTGAGAAAGGGGGTATGCAGCCTTTTTGATCATATTTTAAGGTTATCCAAATACAGACTTTGAAGTTCATATAATTTCTTCGGAATTTTGAATACATTTCCTCTATTATCTTCTTGCTTCTAGTTGTAACTTCTGCCACATTCATGCTATTCTTATTCCCAGCCCTTCACTATGGGATCTTTTTCCAAGACGCTTTCAACATCATTTACTTTGGTGTCAGCCTTACTTTTTAATCAGTGTCCTGGGTACACAGTGGCAATGTCTATAAACATATGTCCTTCGTTGAGTTCTGGGAAAGTTTTTTGAAGTAGTTCTTTGATAATTCCTTGCCTTTCATTTTTCTTCTCTTCATTTTTTAAAAAATTCCTAATACTTAGGCTCTAGGCCTCTTAGATTTGTCCTCTAATGTTCTTGGTTTTTTCCTCCTATCTTCCATTTTGTTGTCTCCCCCAACTCAATTTCTAGTTCTTAATTTTACCTTTTAATCCCTAAAGTGAATTTGTGTCTATTGGCATAACGTTTAATTTTCAAGAGACCATTATTATTCCTTAAATTTTTTTCTTTTTTATGACATCTAGTTCTTGTTTCATGCATACAATATCTTCGCATCTTTCTGAAGCAATTGGCTAATATTTTGATTTACTTTAGTGTCTTCTGCTCCGTGTGTGTGTGTGTGTGTGTGTGTGTGTGTGTGTGTGTTTCCTATGAGAACGTGTTTTCTTGTTTGGATCTCAGGTTGGAGACTTTCCTCAACTGGTGACTGATAGCTGTTTTTTACTCTTCAACAGTGGAACACTAATGATCTGATTAGAAGCTTTGTGTGAGGTGGAGCTTGTCAACTTGTTGGGTGGTAAGACAGGGATTTAATTGTTTTCATTAGGAGACCCTCAAACATCAGTCTGTTCTGAGAGTGGAACAGAGTAAGGAAACTAAAGCGTCCTTTTCAGCATAAGGGTTTTTGTTGCATTTTTATTTTCAATATAGCTTCTGCCTGATGGTCCAGAGTCCAGGATATGTGTGGCTCAGCCTCTTCACAAAGTAAACTCTCCTGGGTTCTTTTTGAACCCAGAGGATAGAAGAACAGTCACCAGGTTGCTTGGTAACTGAGGTCTTAATTTACCTTCATACAAAATCTCAACCATTCCTCCTGTTTTCAGCTTCTGCCTGCAGAGGTACCGGTCACCTTCAGTTTTCTTAAATTATTTTGTTTTATATTGGCATCCTAACAGCAAGTTTGCTAGCTGAGTAACCTTGGGTAGGTTATATAATTTCCTTTATACTTAAATTGTGTCACCTGTAAAATGTGTCATCTCTCTTAGGGTTGTTGTGAAGATTAAATGTTAACATATGTAAAGTACTAACGCTGTGCCAGGCAGTACAGTAAGTGTTCTATGAATCTATGAATGTGTGCTATTTTTTTAACTAGAATTATATTTGAGCTGCTTTATGATTTACCACTCATCCAACAAACTATTAACATCCAAAATTTTGGAAATTTTCTTATCTACTGTCCTCTCCAGTTCTTTGTACTTCTATGGTTTTTTTTGAGGGAGCCTAGGTAAATAAGTATATTTTAATCCATCATGTTTAAATTGAATTGTTTTATTAATTTTTTAATACAAGCATACTTCAGAGATATTGTGGGTTCAGTTCGAGACCACCACGATACAACTAATATCTCAATAAAGCGAATAACATGAATATTTTGGTTCCCCACTGCATATAAAAGTTATGTTTACGCTCTACTTGTAGTCCAGCAATTTTCAGCCTTTTTCATCTCATGGCACACATAAACTAATTACTAAAATTCTGTAGCATACCAAGGAACATATTATATTTTTTGCCAATCTGACCAAAAAAAGGTATAATTCTTTTTATCCTCCCTTAGGACATTTTTTTTCATTGCTTTTAGAAAGAAGGGAAGGGAGAGGGGAAGAGAAACATCAAATCAAGTCATTGATTGCTTGCCTCCTGCATGCACCCAGACCCAGGATCAAACCCACAACCCAGATATATGCCCTGATCAGGAATCGAACCCTTAAACTTTTAGCTATGGGATGATGCTCCAACCAACTGAGCCACACCAGCCAGGGCAAAATAAGTATAATTTCTATTCATTCATACCAGATAGCTATTGTTGTGTTAGCTGTTGTCATTTTTTTAATTTGACAACCTATGAGAAAAGAGGTCAGTGCCCCTGACTAAATAGTTAGATGTTGCATGTTTTAAAAATTCTTGTGACACACCTCTTGCCTGTTGTGGCCACAGCACCAGTTGAAAATTGCTGCCACAGTCTATTAAGTGTGCCAATAGCGTTTTGTCTAAAAAGAACAATGTACATACCTTAATTAAAAAATACTTTATGGCTTAAAAATGCTGACCATCATCTGAGCCTTCAGCAAGTCTTTTTACTGGTGGATAATCTTGCCTCAACGCTGATGGCTGCTGATTGGTCAGGCATTGGTTGCTGAAGGTTGGGGTGGATGTGACAATTCCTTAAAATAGACAATAGTGAAATTTACTGTGTTGATTGACTCTTCCTTTCACAAACAATTTCTCAGAGATCACTGATCACAGACTACCATAACATAATAAAAATGAAAAAATTTGAAATGCTGTGAGAATTGCCAAAATGTGACAGAGGCACAAAGTGAGGAAATGCTGTTGGAAAAATGGTGCCAATGGACTTGCTTGATGCAGGGTTGCCACCAACCTTCAGTTTATAAAATACACACAATATCTGTAAAGTGTAAGAAACATACTGCAACGAAACAAGATATGCCTGTAGTCATATTTACATAACATTAAGACTTTACAATTTTTTCTATTTTTAAACAGCTTTATTGAGACATAATTCACACACTATGCAATACACCCAATGAAAGTGACAATTCCATGGTCACAGAGTTGTGCAGCCATCACCACAATGATTTTTTGAGCATTTTCATCACCAGCCCGCTGTCTGTTGGCAGCACCAGTTCTCCACAGCTTTCAGACACCCACAGGCCTTCCTCAACCTAAAGAGAGAAAAAAAAAAGCCTCCCTTAATCCTGCTCTGCACACTCTGGCCATTGCGCAATAGGTTTCCTTCTTTCCATGACTAAATCTCTTTCTTTAAAAAATTTTTAAAACAATTTTAAAATTATAGTTGACATTTAATATTGTATTAGTGTCAGGTGTATAGTATAGTGGTTAGACAGTTTATACACATAACAAAGTCATCCCCCCAATATTTCCAGTACTTATCTGGTACCATACATATTACAATATTATTGTTGTTACAATATTATTGACTATATTCCTTTTGTTGTTACAATGTTACTGACTATATTCCTTTTGCTATACTTCACATTTCCATGACGATTTTGTAATTGCAAATCCATACCTCTTAATCCCTTCCCCTTTTTCACCCATACCCCTAGCCCCCTTCTTCTCTGGTGACCATCAGTTTGTTCTCTGAATCTGAGTCTGTTTCTTGAACAACTTTTAAGATACTATATTTTGAAAGTACTTTTTACTTTTGTACAATTTTTTTACTTAATCACTTTCTTACTTACCTTCAAAAGTGAATATTTTTGAAGAAGTCCTAAAAAAATAAAAATCTTATTAGATCTGAAATAGAATTGAGTGTATTTACTTAACTTCTAAATTGATATATTCCTTAATTTGTTCAGATTTCTGCTAACAGTACCCGACCTGCTCGCTGGTATGCCAAACTTGGATTTTCTCCAGACCCTAGACCTTTTCCTCTGCCCTTGTCATCACTTTTCAGTGATGGGGGAAATGTTGGTTGTGTTGATGTAGTTATTCAAAGAGTATACCCTATGCAGGTATGACATATTCTTGAAACTTAATCTATATTTCTCTCTTTTTCTAGACAGTTAATTTGAATGATTCCTCCTTACTGTGTATTTCTGTTTGATGCATTATTACAGTGGATGGAGAAGACATCGTCTGGATTATACATATTTCGCAATGAAAGAGAAGAAGAAAAGGAAGCAGCAAAATATGTGGAGGTCCAACAAAGGAAACTAGAAGGCTTATTCACTAAAATTCAAGCACAATTTGAAGAGCATGAAGGTAAAATGAGTTGTACTTTACAAGTTTATATGAAAACAAGTTGTTTTTTTTTAATTAGAGGTTTTGGAGACTTCTAATTTAAATTTTGTAATCAGGTAAATTGTCTTTAACAGATATTTTTCTTCTAATTCTGAATTAAGTATTTCTTATTGTCATTTTTTTTCTTTGTTCTTTTTAAAAAATTGTTGACACTATTTACAGATGTCCCCCATTTTTCCTCCCTTTGCCCACCTCCATCCAGCCCTTGCCTCCCTCCCCTGGCCTTTACCACATGATTGTCTGTGTCCATGGGCTATCCATATATATGCTTTGGCTAATCTCTTCACTTTTTATCCAGTCCTCTCCACCCACCTCCCCTCTGAGATGTCAGTCTGTTCCATGTAACCATGCCTCTACGTCTATTTTGTCCATCAGTTTATTTTGTTCATTAGATTCCACATATAAGTGAGATCGTATAATACTTGTCTTTCACTGACTGGCTTATTTCACCTAGCATAATACTCTCCAAGTCCATCCATGCTGTGGCAAATGGTAAGAGTTCCTTCTTTTTTTTATATCCGCATAGTATTTCATTGTTTAAATGTACTACAGCTTTTTTTATCCATTCATCTAGTGCTAGATTCTTGGGCTTTTAAAAATATTTTTACATAAATATACAGATAAACATTGAACTGACCCCAAATTATTATATCTTTGTTCAACACACTGAGGTTTTAGATACTTAGAATTATCTTAGGTAATAATACCTGGCACATCTATTCCACTATTCAGAAGTCTTAAGTAAATTCCCTCCTAAGCTTCACTACGAAAGCATTTATAGTGCCTGTTTCAGGATTAGAGAAAGAGTTGCAGCGAGGGAAAGAACCATCACATTATTTTCCCTAGGTTTCTGTATGATACCACTTACATGTAAAGTATAAAAAAGGCAAACTCGTAAAAAATAGAGAGGATAGATGGTTATCGCATGGTGGGTTGAGGGGATAATACTGATGGTATTTTAGGTACAAAGTTACAACAAGTAGTAGATAAGCCAGAGATCTAATGTGGAGTATAGTGAATATAATGAACAATATTGTACTACAGTTATGCGATGTGATAAATATTCATACAAAGACAATCATATTGCATATATAAATGTATCAAAATAACATGTTGTACACCTTAAATTTACAATGTTATATGTCAAATACATTTGAAAAGAAAAACACTCAAAAAATTATTTTCCCCTGAGCCATTGACATTCTCTTCTGTGTCTTTTCCTTCATTATGTAATTTTGCAGTTTTTGTTAGCATAGTTGTTGAGTTTTATGTTGTTTTACTTGGAGCTAGAACTTATTTTTTCTGTGGCATAAATTTTAAAGAGTAAAAATCATAGTGTTTTTGCTTACAGGTCATGTAATTTACTTTTTTTATCAACCTTTTTTTATTGCTGAAAACTGTGTTCTGCTTCTCTTCATGATTTTCTATATTATTTAACTTTATGTTCTGTATAAATCTGCAAAAAATTAGACTCTCAAAATTTGATTTTCCTATACATTAATTACTAGCTCATGCTGTTTTCATGATTTGAATGAGTTTTGAAATTATTTACCTAATTTACAATTAATCAAGTAAACTCTTTGACAATTTTTTAAATCATGAATATGCTAGCTTCACATTTTCCTAGAAAACTTATTTTTTAACCTCCCTTATTTATGTGCTTTTTGCTTGATTGTCTTGTTTTCAAGGTTGTTAACTTTGTGGTTTAGCTAATTAGTGATGCTGTTTTCCCTAGACAATATACCAAAACAATGTGCACCATCATGCGCACTAACCAGACAGCAAGTCTGTGCTCTGCAGGATGGTGCAGAGCTCTATGAAGCAGTAAGGACCGCGCCAGATCCCTCTTACCTTGAGGTGAGAGAAGTAGAGGACATGCAGTGAGCCTTAAGGTGAAAGATGTGGCATTCTCCTCCGGCTGTCACTGGAAGCAGTATGTTGAAATGCTGTTTCTCAAAGAGGGCATTTGCATTTCTGGGATCCACAGAGATGAGCCAAACATGGTGGTACATTTTTGATTCTGTATCAAATAGAGGATAGGTAGGAGCTTTAAATAATCTTATATATTAAATAAATGTGGCTTAAAATGCAGGCAAAACTTGATTACTTTTAAAATAGAAGAAGTGTCTTCAAAGCAATATCTTAGTTCCCATGTTCTCAGCTCTTTCTCAGATCCTACCTGGAGTCATTTCATAATCTCTACCTGAAGGGGACTTAAATAGACAAGTGCAGAAGCACTAAACTGTGTTAGAAATAGCCTAGACTTTAGAATCATGGCTCTGTCATTTACTTGCGAAGCAAATTGCACATAATATAGCTATAAAATGAGCATAAAATAAGTTGTTTTAAGATCAAATTAAATAATATATGTAAAAGTGTGGTATTTTATAAAGTTTCTTATAAATATTAGTTGCTGTTGTTAGGACATCATTTCATATATTAAGGTAAATTACCTCCTAAATTTGTAGATCCCCAGGTATCTAATTAATGCAAGGATTGGTTTGCTTAGATAAGGAGGGGGTAAGAAATTTTAGGAAAACTATTGTTTGTTTATTGATGATTCTTATTTATTTGGTATCAGTATATCTTGTATTATAACCTTAAGTTTCTTTAAAAATGGGACTACAAAAAAATAAATAAATAATCCTCCACTAGGAGACTAAGCAGTGCTGTTCTGAATAGAATTCCCTCATGTTCCCAAATGGTACAACTCAGATTCTCCCTGAAAAGTAAGTCTGGTTTGAAAGTCTGTGAATGTACTTGCCACAAGTCTGTAGGCTAAGGCTTTATTTTGCTTTCCTGAAACATCATTTGCCTCTATAGCTTATAATATTACATACGTTGAAGCTTGTGCTTTCTGTGAGTCATCATGAAGATAGTTTTAATTTCATCCACAAAATTTAACAAAATATTTTTTAGTCTGGTATCCTTTTATAGAATTTACTTATAAGGAGGAAGTAATGAGCAGAATAAGAGTTGGAGAACTAAATCCTCGATCCAATCCTGCCACTTGGTAGCTAAGACAAGTGATTTATCTCTCCGGCTTTCCTTCCACCTTCTATCAAGGGAAGATCTAAGGGAGGCTTATCTCTATGGTTCTGAGTTTATGTGATGCTGAGATTTCACTCAAATAAAGTAACCACTCATTCTTAAGAGGGAAAAATAACCACCAATTTCTGAAACACTCCGTCAAAAGGATTTGTTTTTAGAGACTGCTGAATGGTGAAGGACTTTGGAAATCATAGATTTCTTTTTAATTCTTGTTTAAACACTGTCAACATTTTTAGCCATTTTGAGAGAACAGAGAGTTCAAGTCTCCCTACCCCATGTAGATCATAAGATTAAGATTTGTAAGGCAGCAGCAGTCTAGAGTGTTTTCTGTCAGATCCATTTCCTGTTTTATTTGATTTTACTTTTTTGTTTATGCTTTCATTCTTGTTACACTGGGTGAGATTCCCGAGAAGTACAGACAGCAATTTTTTTTCATTGTTGTTCAAGTACAGTTGTCTCCATTCTCCTGCCACCATTTTCCCCTTCCCCCCGCACTCCCGCCAATCCTACCCCGCTATGGCTTTGTCCATGGGTCCTTTATACACGTTCCTTGATGACCCTTCCCCTTCTATCCCCCATTATCCCCCTCTTCCGTCCCTGCTGGTTACTGTTACTTTGTTCTTTATTTCAATGTCTCTGGTTATATTTTGCTCCCTTGTTTGTTTTGTTGGTTAGGTTCCGCTTATAGGTGAGATCATATGGTATTTGTCTTTCACCACCTGGCTTATTTCACTTAGCATAATGCTCTCCAGTTCCATCCATGCTATTGCAAAGGATAGGAGCTCCTTCTTTCTTTCTGCTGTTGAATATCCCATTGTGTAAATGTACCATAGTTTTTTGATCCACTCATTTACCGATGGGCACTTAGGTTGCTTCCAGCACTTGGCTACTGTAAATTTTGCTGCTATGAACATTGGGGTGCATAGGTTCTTTTGAATTGGTGCTTCAGGATTCTTAGGGTATAATCCCAGCAATAGAATTGCTGGGTCAAAAGGCAGTTTGCTTTCCCCAGGGGCTGCACCAGTTTGTATTCCCATCGACAATGTACTAGGGTTCCCTTTTGTCCACAACCTCGCCAGCACTTGTCATTTGTTGATTTGTTTATGATGGCCATTCTGACTGGTGTGACGCAGTATCTCATTGTGATTTTAATTTGCATCTCTCTGATGGCTAGTGATGCTGAACATCCTTTCATGTCTCTGGGCCCTATGTATGTCCTTCTTGGGAAAGTGTCTGTTCAGGTCCTTTGCCGATTTTTTAATTGGATTGTTTGTCTTTGTGGTGTGGAGTTATGTGAGTTCTTCATAAACTTTGGAGATCACACCTTTGCCGAAGAGATCATTGGCAAGTATATTTCCCATACAGTGGGTTGCCTTTTCATTTTGCTGTTTTCTTTAGCTGTGCAGAAGTTTTTATTTTGATGAAGTCCCATTTGTTTATTCTTTCCTTTATGTCCCTTGCTCTAGGGGACATATCAGTGAAAATATTGCTGCGTGGAATACCTGACAGTTTCCTGCCTATGTTCTCCTCTACGACTTTTATGGTGTCATGACTTATATTTAAGCCTTTTATCCATCTTGAGTTTATTTTTGTGTATGGTGTAAGTTGGTGGTTGAGAGTCATTTCTTTGAATGTAGCTGTCCAGCTCTCCCAACACCATTTGTTGAAGAGGCTATTTTTACTCCATTTTATTCTTCTCCCTGCTTTGTTGAATATCAATTGTCCATAGAGACATGGGTTTCTTTATGGGCTCTCTATTCTGTTCATTGATCTATGTGTCTGTTCTTATGCCAGTATCAGGCTGTTTTGATTACAGTCGCCTTGTAACATACTTTGATGTCAGGTATTGTGATGACTCCTACTTTGTTCCTCTTTCTCAAAATTGCTGAGGCTATTTGGGATCGTTTATGGTTCCATATAAATTTTTGGAATGTTTGTTCTTTATCTGTGAAATATGTCATTGTTATTTTAATAGAGATTGTATTGAATCTATAAATAGCCTTGGGCAGTATGGACCTTTTGATGATGTTAATTCTTCCAGTCCATGAACACAGTATATACTTCGATTTATTTGTGTCGTCCTTCATTTCTTTCTTCAGTGTTGTGTAGTTTTCTGAGTATAGGTCTTTCACCTCCTTGGTTAGGTTTATTCCTAGGTACTTTATTTTTCTTGTTGCTATAGCAAGTGGGATATTTTTCCTGATTCCATGGTATACAAAAATGCCTTCGATTTCTGATAATTAACTTTGCATCCCACTCTTTTGCCAAATTCACTTATTAGATTGAGTAGTTTTTTGGTGGAGTCTATGGGGTTTTCTATGTACACTATCATGTCATCTGTAAACAATGATAGTTTTACTTCCTCCTTTCCAATTTGTATCCCTTTTATTTCTTTTTCTTGTCTGATTACTAAGGCTAGGGCTTCCAATACTATTTGAATAGAAGTGGTGAAAGCTGACATCCTTGTCTTGTTTCCGAGCTTAATGGGAAAGCTTTCAGTTTTTGCCTGTTGAGTATGATGTTGGCTGTAGGTTTTTCATATATGGCCTTTATTATGTTGAGGTATGCTCCCTCTACTCCCACTTTTCTGAGTGTTTTTATCATAAATGAGTGCTGTACTTTATCAAATGCTTTTTCCACATCTATTGATGTCATCCCGTGATTTTTGTACAGAAAGCAATTTGGTGAAATGATTGGGAGAGAAGTGTGAAAGCAGCAAGAAGTGCTTGCAACACATGTCTGGTTTTTGGTTTTAGGAGATTTTGGTTTTTATTTTTAGAGGGAGAGAGAGAAAGAGAAACTGATTTGTTCCACTTATTTATGCATTTATTCGTTGATTTTTTAAGATATTTTATTTATTTATTTTTAGACAAAGGGGAAGGGAGAGAGTGAAGCATCAATATGTGGTTGCCTCTCATGTGCCCCCTGCGGGGGACCTGGCCTTCAACCCAGGCATGTGCTCTGACTGGGAATCAAACTGGGGACTCTTTGGTTCGCAGGCCAGCACTCAATCCTCTGAGAGACACCAGCCAGAGCTATTCATTGATTCTTGTATGTGTCTGACCAGAGATCAAACCTACAAACTTGGTGTATCAGGATAATGCTCTAAGTGACAGAGCAGCCCGGCCAGGGCTAGCACGTGTCTGTTTTAAATTGTATCAGCTTCTCTAGAGAGTTCATGAAATTATACTGTGGGGGCTAAGAATGAGGATTCTTGAAGTAACCCTACCTATGTGCCTCTGAAATCATTTATTCTCTCTGCACCTCAGTTTCATCATTTACAATGTGGAAACAATAGCAGTACCTATCTCATAGGGTTATTATACAGATTAAATGAATTAACACATTTCCTCCACATAGATCCGTTTCTCAAATAGAGTGAGCTTTCACCTGTTAGCCATTTTTAATGTCATTAATGTTGATGGATGTGACTATTAGAGTACATTTATAAGCAGGGGTTGTTTTGGCCCTAGGGAAATTGGTCACAAAGATGAGTAAACAGCTTAAGACACCAGAACATATTTCTTACATGATAAGCTGAGTACATTAATCTCAATTTTTGTATTGTCACACCCTTAAAGCAAACTCAACTCTGTTGTGTTTTACCCCCATTTAGAGGATTTCCTTTACAATAGATGAGGTGTTTGTTTTTTTTTTTTTTTGTTTGCTTTTTATTCCAACCTTAAATGCCTTCTTACTTTAAATGATCACAGGCTTATTTTAGTGAAGAGCAGTTAAGAGCCTTGAATAATCATAGACAGATGTTGAATGACAAGAAGCAAGCACAGATCCAGTTGGAATTCCAGAAGGCTATAGAGTCTGCTGAGAAAGGGGAGCAAATGTTATCAAGGGATGTTACAACTGTGTGGAAGCTGCGTATCATAAGCTATGAGAAAAAAGAAAAAGATTCAGGTCAGTATGTAAATTTTTTGTTTTTATCAATTTTAAGTTAAAATATTATTGTATTAATAAAATGATTTCAAATGCTAGATGAAGTGTAAAGTTAGTGCATATCAGAGGAGCAAGGTCTACCAGACCCCATAAAATCTATAGGTCTTTGTTGTTGTCAGTATTATTTTTTTTAGGTAAGAAAAGTTATTTTTCATTTAGTATAAATTTTAAACAAAGGTACATATGACCCAAAGCTTTTATGAGTTTCTCTACCCAACAGTGATCTCCAAGGAGGCCAACAAGGCTCCAGACTTGGCTTCCACTCAGTTGGAAATTAATATAACCCACTTCATCCCTCCCTGAGAACCTGGAAAGGAAAGTAGCAGGAACAAATGCTAGGCCAGCAGCTTTGTGATTTCTGGTGGAACCAGGTTCTGGAGCAGATCAATGAAGGGTGGGGAGCTCTCAGAGTGAGGAGCTGTGGTCCCCAGATCTACCAGCCGAAACTACTGCTTGGTCAACCAGCTCCTCTCCCTTCCATTCCCTACTTTCTCCCTTCTCTTTTGTCATTCCCTGGCTCTTTCCTGTCTTTCTCTCTTCTTGGTTGTTTTCTCCAGCCTCACACCTCTTTGTTTTCATGTCCTCCAAAGTGGCCCCCAAAAGACAGCCATGGTTTTCAGCCCTTTGTAATGGCTGAAAGTTCTAAAATATCCAAATCAAAGAGATGCTTCTTAGTACTTAGAGGTGGACATTTTTACTAGTTGTGCATTCCTTCAGAACTTGTGACCAAATTTTTCTACCAAGCAAACAAGAAGGAGCCTGCATCCACCAGGCCCCATCCTAAGGTGGCCTCTGGGATGGAGCAGAGTTCGTGAGGACAAAGCGGGCACCACGGGCCTCACCTTCACCCTCAAAGGAGCCTGGGTCCTCCAGGTCTCCACAGATGCTAGAACCTGGCCCAGATACCTCTTTCAGGCTAACCTTGGGACCAAAGAAGATTTCCTGGAGTCAAGTTATCAAATTTAGTGTGACAGTCACTTTAGTGTTCAATAAAAACTAGGGACTAGCAATTCTAAATAAAATGTTCTCCTGGTTGGTCCATGGAGAAGAGACCAAATCCATTTGGGATCAGCGACAGGGAAGGACTTTTAGGCCTCCCCCAGTCCACCTGCTTGGATCACTGGCTTTTCCTGCCCTGGAGTAAAATTCATTTTGTTATATCACAGTTCAGCAGATCAGAAGTCTGGAAGGAACTGGCTAGGTTGTCTGCTCAGTGCTTCATGAGGATGAAGTCCAGGTATTTTTATCTCATGCTCAGGGTCCTCTTCCAAGCTCACTGAAGTTCTTGACAGAATGCATTTGCTGTGATTGTAGGGCTGAGATCCCTATTTCTTGTGTAGCATGTCACCAGAGGCCAGTCTGCTTCTAGAGGCCTCCTGCATTCTTTCTCATGTGGCCTTCTCCATTGTCAAACAAGTGACAGTGCATTGCATCCTTCTCATGCTTGACTCTGTGATTTTGTCTTCTTAAGTATTTATTTGTAGACAGGAATTTTAATAATTACAAGTTCTTCCATTATCTTTTTCCTCTTTTTCTGAATAGTTATGTTAAGTATCTGGCGTCCTCCATCGGATTTATATTCCCTGCTAACAGAGGGAAAGAGATACAGAATCTATCATCTTGCAACATCAAGATCTAAAAATAAATCTGGGAGAGCTACAGTACAGTTAACAGTAACTAAAAACACTCAGTTTCAACAAATACAGGTATGTGCTTCTCATTGTAATTTTTCAATTTTTATAAATGCATATGAGTTTACAGAATCTACACATGCTGATTTTTTTTCTTACAGGCTTCAGATGAAATACTGTTCCAAGTTTATCAGCCACGGGAGCCTGTTCTCTTCAAACAGCTATTGAATCCAGACTTCCAGCCACATTGTTCTGAGGTGGACCTAATAGGATTGGTAGTTTCTGTTGTGAAAAAAATAGGTAATATACAGCATATTTAGGTGTAGCTTTCCATTGATGCTTTTGAAAAACATTCTTTTAAAATTTGTTTTAGGATTAATTGGAGCTACAAATCAGCAAATTTGATAATTAGTGATTTGAAAATAGGCCTGTTTTAACCTCAATTCTTAATGTAAATGAGTTGTACAGTATTACAAGGGAAGGACTTACATTCCATTCTGACTAACTTAATTTTAAAGAAATTGCTAGAAAATTTTCTACAGCATTTTAGTGATTATTGCTAGACAGATAATTATAATTTCCCTGTGCAGTTAACTGAACATTCAGGCCTCTGCCCCCAGTGTTGGTTTGGGTTTTTTATCCCTTTGCAACATCTCTCATTATCCATAATGATATCCATTGTTCTAAAGCCTACTTTTTAAAATATAGCTAGCTACTCCAATTTTTTTTATCATTGGTGTTGGTTTGCACGGTATATATATTTTTCCAATGCTTTATTTTTAACCTATCAATGTTTTTATATTCCAAGTTGTTTTTGGTAGACAGCATGAATGTTGAGTCTTGCCTTCTTACCCAATATGACACTCTGTATCTTTTAATTGGCTTAATCTGATCATCTTTAATGTGACTATTGATAATGTTTGATTAAAAGTTCCCACCTTGCTCTCTGTTTTCTCTTAGTCCCATCAGTTCCTCATGTAGGAGAGCAGTTCTTGTGATGTTTCTACATATGCGGTAGCAGCCCTTGTCTCAGGCTGTCTTTTAAAGAATGTTTGTATAGCAAAGAGGCCTGGAAGGATGGAGGGCAGATTTCTTTCCTGAGCAGGAAGTCTGATCTCTTTTCCTCGAGTTTTTGTTTCTGGTTCTATTTTTTTGTTTTTGAGATACCACTTGTAAGTGAGATCATACAATACTGGTCTTTCTCTGTCTGACTTATTTCACTTGGCATAATGCCCTCAAGGTTCATCTGTGTTGCAAATGGCAGGATTTCCTTTTCTATGGATGAATAATATTCCCTTGTAAACACCACATTTTTTTTTAACTGTTCCCCTATTGACAGACACTTATGTTGTTCTCCTGTTTTGGCTGCTATGAATAATGATGCAATGAACATGGGAGTTCAGATATCCCTTAAACATAGTGATTTTATTTCCTTTGGATATATACCCAGAAATGGAAATGGTGGATCATATGGTAGTTCTGTTTTTAATTTACTGAGGAATAAATCATTTTAAATAACAAAAAAATAGCACTGGCTGGTGTGTCTCAGTGGATGGGATGGAATGTCAGCCTTCAAACTGAAAGGTTGCTGGTTTGATTCCTAGGCAGGGCACATGCCTGGGTTGTGTGGGCCAGGTCCCCAGTTGGGGTGCGTGCAAGAGGAAATCGATCGATGTATCTCTTGTACATCACTGTTCCTCTGCTTCTCTTTCTCCCTCTCTCTAAAAATAAGTAAATAAAAATTTAAAAAAAGAAAAAGAAATACCTTTTCAGTGTCAGCTTCAGTTTTTACTGCTCATAGCATCTCAGGCAAGTTCATCTATATTTTATTCTTTAAATATGACATTGAACACTCTTCTTTTCCTTATCTCTTTCTGTATGTTCTATCTACAAAGCCAAACTCTTGTCTCCCTATGTACTAGGAAGTGTTAAGACTATCTTAGGTCTGAGTTTATGCACAAAGACTTCTACTTATTGATGATTTGTGCCAGGTACCCCAGCCTCCTCCCCTGGCAGTTTGTCCTTCATTCTACATCAACTGTGTTGACGTCTTTCTTGCCATTCTTGGGCCTACTGAGTTCACTTTCATCACAGAGCCTTTATACTCACGGTTGCTCCTTCTAGAAGCTTCCCCCCAACAGCCACGTGGCTGACTCCTTTGACTCCTTCAAGTCTTTGGTGAAATGCAACCTTCTAAGAGGCATTTCCCTGACCACCATTTGTAATAGAGCAGTACTCTCTCCATTCCCCAACCTAACTTTAAATTCTCCATAGCACTCAGCAGCGCCTGACAATATATGTTTATGTTTTTTTGTCTCCCTCCTCCAGAATATTAGGTCTACAAGAGCAGAGACTTTGGTACTGCTGTATCTTCAGCTTCTAAAGCAGTGCCTGGTACAGAGCAGGGTCTTAAATATTTGCTGGATTCCTTACTTATCAACTACTCTGTCATGGTTTCTTCCTTCCTTTGATCTTTGGCTAAGGTTTAGTATCCATCTCCTTTTTGAGGAGTCCTCATGTGCACCATATCCCATGGGTTCCTCCTATTTTCCATATGTACCTATTACCTTAATTGTGAGGCTTTGTCTTAGTTAGGTATAATATTTTGAGATTATGCTTACTTTCCTTCCCTCAGAACTTTGTAGAAATTACTCTTTTGGAATTGAACAATCTGGAACTGGCATAATTTTTTCCCTGATTTAGTGACTTTCTTTTTATGTCTGGATATCTAAAGAATATTTTCTTTTGTACTCCAATAAGCTGCGTCTTATTGAAAGCATCCTGTATACAATTCTTCTGGGACACAGGATGCTCTTTTGATCTGCAGACTTAGTGGTTTCTTTATTTCATAGATACTCTGTAATTTCTTTGAACATATTGGCTGTCCATTTACTGAGATTTCAATTTCAAGGATACCAGTTAGTCTTATGTTGCATTATTTTTGTTTGTGTTTTTATCTCTTCCCTGATTGCTTTTATTTTTTTTTTGTCTTTTTCATTTTTGTTCACCATTCTTATATCCAGCCTTTATGTTCATAATTTTATTTTCTGCAATATATTTTATTTCTTGCTATTTCTAATGCATGCATCTGACCCATTGTGATCATATATGATGTTCTCAATTTTATTTCTTTGATCCTGCACTCTCATATCTTACAGGGCTACTTATTCCATATTCAAGCTTTTATTTCCTCAAATATATGTTCCTACTAAGTTCAATAGCATGAATCAGTTTTGAAGAACTTAGAAACTGCCTTTTTTTCCTTTGAGTTTTGTTTTCTTTAATTTTTAAATCATGTTTATTCTGTTACAGTTGTCTCAGTTTTTCCCTCTTTACCCTCCTCCACCCATCCAACCTTACTCCCCGGTACCACAGTCAATTTCCACTCTGTTGTCCACATCCATGGGTCATTCATACATGTTCTTTGTCTAGTATCTTCTTCTTTCCACCATTGTCCTTCCCCATCCCCTCTGGTCACTTTCAGTCTTTTCCATGTTTCCATGCCTGGGGTTTATTTTGTTTGTTGGTATTTTGTTGAATGGATTCCACTGATAGATGAGGACATATGGTATTTGTTTTGCACCAACCAACTTATTTCACTTAGTATAATATTCTCCAGTTCCATCCATGTTGTCGCAAAAGGTAGGAGCTGCTTCTTTCTTTTTTTAATGCATATTGATTTTATTTATTTATTTATTCTTTTAAATATCAAAATCCATTATAAAATATTAAATTTAAATCCATTCTAAAGTCTCAGCAATTAAAACAACATGACACTAGCACTGAAATACTCAAGTAGATCAATGAAATAAAATGAGTATTCTAGAAACAAACATATCTAACAATGTTATATATGATTAAATTGATATTTCAAGTCAATAGGGGAAATGAAGCTTATTCAACAAATAAGGTGCATGGACCACTATTACTTGAATTAAAACAGATATAGAGCCCTATTTCACACATTATACAAAAAATATTCAGGTGAGTTAAAAATCAATATGTAAAATCTAAGGAGTTTCAGGAGAAAATACAAAATAATATTTTTCTTACCCCGAAGTAAAATATACAAACCCAGAAGCTATAAAGGAAAATATTGATAATATGACTATATTAAACATTTAATACTATGCAGTAATATACATATAAAAAAACCAAAGGACAAGTAATAGAATAGGAAAGTACTTGCAACACATCTAAAAAAGGGTTAATAGTTTGGAGTTTTTTTAGGGAAAAAATTCTGCAAACATTTAATCAAAAAATGGATAAAGAATACCAAAAAGTCATTTAAAGTTTTTTTAAAATAATAGAAATAGGCAAGAAATATTCAAAAACAGATTTAGTTTCAACAAATAATAGAGTAACAATTAAAATAACACATCATTGTCACAATCAGATTAATAACTTAAAAATATTGGTAATATCAAGTATTGGGGACTGTGAAAGGAATTGGGTGTTCATAGACTCTTTTTCTTCATCTTCTTAGAGCAGTCCTTTTAGCATACCTTGCAGTGCTGGTTTGGTGGAGGTGTATTCTTTTAGCCTCCTTTTGTCTGGGAAACTCCTTTTTTCAACTTCCATTTTAATTGGGAACCTAGCTGGACAGAGCAGTCTTGATTGCAGTCCTTTGCTTTTCATGACTTGGAATATTTCTTGGCATTCCCTTCTGGCTTGTAATGTTTCTGTTGAGAAGTTAGTTGCTAGCTATATTACGCTCCCTTGTATGTTACTACCTCCCTCTCCCTCGCTTGCTTTAGGAGTCTCTGTTTGTCTTTGATATTTGCCAATAAGGCAAATGGATAGATTTTTACTTGCAGCCACGTACCCTGGGCTCTGGAAAAGGCGGGGGCAGAGTAGGCCAGAGGAGCCTGAGGAGAGACTGGGGGAGAAGGCGCTGGGGAGAGAACAGAGAGTAGCCAGCGGGATCCCAGTGCCGACTTCCTTCCCCCCGCATACGGCGGCAGACCACTCCCCTGAGAGACAGCAGCATGAGAAGACCCAATAACCCCACACCCAGGAGGGACTCTGCCCTGCCCTGTGGTGCCTAAGCCTGACTGCTGAGTGCAGAGTGACTAGATTAACAACTGAAGGAGACAGCCACTGACAGTAGATTCCTGTAAGTCTCAAACAGACTACCTAAGGTCAGATGGGGTCAACATGATGATGTGTCTTGGCGAGGGCCTCATTGGGTTCCTCTTGAATGGGACCCTCTGTGCTTCCTGGACTTGTGTGACTTTTTCTCTCCTCTAATTAGGGAAGTTTTCCATCATGACTTTCAAACAGGTTCTCTATCCCTTCCT